TTATTCCTTCCTCGAAAGAAAGGATGTCCATGTGATTTTTTAATATATGAATCATCATGTCACGACCAGGGTGTCCAAGACGATCGTGCCAAAACATGTATGAGTATGTGTCCCAAATTTCATCGTTGGTGGCAACATAGGATTCAAAGATCCGAATAGTGGTGACATAAAGTCCACTAGACTGACTCATTAATTTCTCTAGTATGCGCTTTCTTCCGCATTCATTAGAGGTAATGTAAAGATACTCTACACCATTCTCACAGCGAGTTTCTACATGAAACCCATTATCACGATTATCTTTAAAACTTAATAAGGTTCGGGTAGCTCTAGGTGTATATAGAGCGTCTGTGACGAAGAATATTGTGCCATTAGGGAGCATAAATTGGGCAGTACCTCGCCCTCTTATTATGTCTGGAGATCCAATCATTGTAGTCACAAAAGAATTATAAGATATTAATTTAACAAATAATTGCCTATTTCGTAGGATAGTGTGTGTGCTCCCACTATCTACTAAACACTCAAGTTCTCCTCGAGTCATTCCTGTATAATGAGGACATAGAATATAAATCTGAACCCACAATTTAAAATATTGTTTGGATTATCAATCCAATTATTGAGGAAAGGTCTCCACATCTAAATTAATTATTGACTTATACCAGTGACCTGCAACTCCACATCTATAGCAAGGGTCTCCATCATTTCTTTCTCGTTTGACTGATGACATTCCGGATGCATTGTGAACATTTGATCCTGCACCCTCATCTCTTCGCCATACATTGGAAGGTCCTCCACGACCCAGACCACGGCCCCCACAGCCTCCATGACCCTTATTGCCCCTCCCACGCTTTGAATAGTCCACGTGAGGACTGGTTAGCACGCCCTCCCCCCTTTGCATTGAGGTTCCTTCCACTTGCAAATTTGCCATAGTTAGCTTCGAGAATTTTCTTTTTCCCAACTGGCCTGACATTGTTGTTCAAGAGAATCTCATAGTGTCTCTGGAGAAGACTAATCAACTAATTATAAGTGGTAAGCCTTTTTTTGTCATACCTCAACCTATATTGGTTCGCTAGTATAATGTCGAGGTAAGGAATGTGGAAAGTGTTTTCTCAATCATTTCACTTTCTGTGATTACTTTGCCATAGAAGTTGAGACGTGCTTTCAGGCGTAACATATCTTTGTTGAAATCGTTAACTATCTTATAGTCAATGAGACGGATTTCATTCCAGTGCACCGTGAGCTCTGAAAGCAACATATCATGAATGTTCCCAAAACGTCCCTTAAGGGCATCCCACAGTTCTTTGGGGGTTTTCAAGTGAAGATACTCCCAGCGTAGGCTCGGATCAATATGGCGCTTAAGAAACATTAAAGCGCTTGCCTTTGTCTTTTCAGACGGTGCTTCACCTTTCAAATCTTTGGGGTCAATGAGCGTGGCAGAGTAGTCTTTAGTCACAAAAGTGGTTTTCACATCAGAAACCCACCCATGGTACTCAAGTCCTTCTGAGTCCAGAATGTTAAACTCAGGTCCAGTTGGATGAGTCATCTTAATCGTTGTTGGAGTGATAGGTTGACGAGACAGGAAGAGAGAGGGGGACTGTTGAACTACTCGGCAATGGAGGATGAAAACGGCCGAGTGTGGTGGCGGAAAAAACAGGGTTAGAACAAACATGTTGATAACGTGTTGTAGCAAAGTGAGATGTGTGTATTATTCCATTAAGCAAGCCCCTTTAAATAGGAGAAGTTAGGGTTTACAAGAGATGAGCCAATGGGCCATTTAATTAAATACACACAAAAGCCCTATATATAATTTCTATCTATAACGAATGCACATTAAAGATAATTTCATTCAACATTATCATGATTATAAAAAATATTGATGCTTACTGTTTATTCATTATTATGATTATGAAATAATCATATATTTATGACTAAAATAAAAAATGTTTACAAAAATGTGAGCAGTGACTAAAGTAGTAATGAAAGAATAGTAATATACGTTCAATTTTCAAACTTAAGTTATCATGTCATTACGTTGTACTAACTATTAGTTATATTTATGTAAATAAGTTTTATTTTAATAATTTTTTTGAAAATTCCACTTATAATTTGTAAGGATGCTTATTTTTTTGTGACTCGTAAAAGAAATGTTAATCAACTTGATCAAAATTAATTGAAGTTAGAATTTTTAGATGGAACTACGAGGTATATTTTAATAACATTTCTTGCGCCAGTACTTAAAAAAACTATGGGATAAAATATTAAAATGATGATGATGATTTGTTTTGACTTTTAAAACTAGTTAAGGTACACTACAGTAACTACACAATAACTTTTCCAATAATATTGAGGGTAATTCTTGTTATACACAAAAAATGTACACTTTTTTTACATTCAACTATATACAAAGATAATCGGAATAATTGTTATTTTTTAAGGCTTTGTTTGCAAGTGCTTGTGCTTAAATAAAAGCACTTTTTGGGAAAAAGTGATTAGTAGTAAAAGTTGGTAGTGTTTGATAAAATAAGTGCTTTTTGTGTAATAGAAAATGTAAAAAATAAATTCTACACGAAAACCGAGAAAGTAAAAGTTGATAGTGTTTGATAAAATAAGTGCTTTTTTCTTAGAAAAAAGCTACAATCACTTAAATTAAGGGGTTGCAAACAAAGCCTAAAACTTAAATAAGTGAATTGTTTGCACGCACATGCAATAGGGGTGAACAAAAAGTGCATAAATAGATTTTTGGGGGAATTTGACATAGCACTTCATTTTTTGGGAGTTTTTGGACTTTGCATCCTATTTCATTTAACAATCTTTTAACATTGCACCCCATTCAGAAAATTTCCTTTCACAAAATGTTGTATAATAGGGTATAGAGTCAAAGTTTTTTTTAAATGAAAATGTAAAATTCAATATTATTCAAAACATGAGGTGCAAAATCAAATTCACCCTACATTTTTTGTAATATTAAACCGAGTAACGCTGAACCCGTTGTTAATACACAAGCTAGGCATTTTAAAAAAACAAAACAAATACACAAGCAGGGGCGGAGCCAGGGGGTCAGAGTGGTCAAACGACCCCGCTGAAAGTTCAAGAATGTAGAGCTCTGAAATAACTTCGATTTGATATATTATGGGTCTCGTAACTCATTACGAGTAAAAATTTATGACTTCTGGAAAAAACAACACCATCTTAACTTGAAATAAGCAAAATTTGATGTGTGAGGTTGATTATATTCTTAAATTTAAAAATAAAACACCTTATTAAGTTATTAATAATTGTGTGAACATTATGATACATTACATATATACACACACACACACACACACACACACACACACATATATATATATATATATACATATTATATATATATATATATATATATATATATACATTATTATATACACACACACATATACATATTATATATACATTACATATGTATATATATACACATATATATACATATTATATATATATATATATATAGAGAAGTGATCAGGTCCAGCCGGAGGGACGGGAAGCGCCGTCCGAACTCCGCCGTTTGGGGCGGTTCCCGGTGGAATTTTTTGATGAAATTTTTTGAGCATGTTCTTCATCAAGTCTAGTTTGTCCATACCAAATTTCAGCTCAAAATTCGATCGGGAAGGTTGTCAAATGATTTTTGCAAGTTAACTGGTCCGGAAAAATCATATTCCGGACCAGTTAACTTGCAAAAATCATTTGACGACCTTCCCGATCGAATTTTGAGCTGAAATTTGGTATGGACAAACTAGACTTGATGAAGAACATGCTCAAAAAATTTCATCAAAAAATTCCACCGGGAACCGCCCCAAACGGCGGAGTTCGGACGGCGGCTGGACCGGGGAGGGCTGGACCTGATCTTTTTTGTATATATATATATATATATATATATATATATATACATATTATATATATATATATATATATATATATATATATATATATATATATATATATAGGAAATCTTTCCGGTAAGGTATACCTTACCGGAGCCTCTGTGCGGCCTCCACGTTTTGAGGGCTTCCCGGTGGAATTTTTCGATGAAATTTTTTGAGCATGTTCTTCATCAAGTGTAGTACATCCATTCCAAATTTCAGCAAAAACTTCAATCCGGAAGGTAGTCAAACTATTTTTGGAAGATAACTGCACCCTTTATATACATATAAAACGCAGTTATCTTCCAAAAATCATTTGACTGCCTTCCCGATTGAATTTTTTGCTGAAATTTTGTATGGATGTACTAGACTTGATGAATAACATGCTCAAAAAATTTCATCGAAAATTTCCACCGGGAAGGCCTTCAAAACGTGGAGGCCGCACAGCGGCTCCGGTAAGGTATATCTTACCGGAAGTTTTTCCTATATATAGGGGTGGGTTCAAGTAAAAAAGTAGTTTTCCCATGAAAAGTGAGAATAAATCTTGGTCTTTGATCACTTGAAAATGGATAGATTAGATGAACTTTAAACATAAAAGACGGTTTCAAAAAATGTGCAAATGTTTGTACTATAAAGTGGATAGCTACTAACTAAAAGTGCACTCACGCGTGTCAAAAAGATTGTCAAAAATTTCAAACTTGTGCACTTTTTATTTGATATCGTATTGCACTTTTGTGTTCTACGTGTGCACTTTTTTACTATTCTGATACACATTTGTCACAATATTTTCAAAAAATGTTCTCCATAATTACACAAATGCCACCGCGTTTCCCATTTAAAAATTGATCTCACTATCATTTATCTCAACTACGTATGAAACATTTAACTCAAGTATTGTATAATAATTATCTATCATTTTGATGATGTATATAATTAAATTTTGACCCCCCTTACATAATTTTCTGGCTCAGCCCCTGTACACAAGCCTAGGCCTATACGACTATACCTCAAAGGCTCACACTCTCCATTTAGGAGGCCGTTTGGCAACACTATTTTTTGGCTTATTAGACTTTTCAGCCAATTTTTTCATCAAACACGTAACTTTTGCTTTCGCGTGTTGAATTGTGTAATAAGCAGAAAAAGTAAGGTTGGAATTACTTTTCTGGCTGTATTGACTGAAGTTACTGTAGATGACCATTTTAGCTATTTTTATATATAACTTTTTCTTTATTTTATTAATAAAATATATTTTAAAAATAATTTTTCTTAAATCAGCAAAATCAGCCAATGCACTCACTTCAGTCAGAACTTCATAAATTTCAGCGGAATCAACCAAATCAGCCTATTTTCGTGCTAGCCGGTTTTGAATTTTTTTTTCCTTTTGAAAGCACGGGCTCTGGATTTATACCCCAAATTTCTACAATAATGATCTGCACTGCATTATCCGGAGTATTCTACAATTCATCATTCTTCCATATCCATCTATCAGGTATTTCCTTTTCTACTCTCCACCCTCAGTCTTAGCTGCTTCAGCTTCCAACCTTAACAAGAATTCTCGAACAGTAATTAGGTATTATTTCATTTGGTAGATGTTATTATCATTAATACCTTTTTAGATGGCTGGAATTTCAGAATCTGAAACGCTACTCTACAGATCTTCTGTTAGACCAATATTTCAAAAGATGTGTACAAAGCACCATTCAGCAGATCTTAGTTTCACGTATTAGATGAGATTTGCTTGGTTAAATTTATTTCAACTTTACGACAGACTTATTTGGCTGTATATTTTTTGTTTTTTAATACTAATTTTTCAGATTTTAGAAGTATTATCAGTATCTATTACATCAAAATGTCCATTTCAATTTTAGATGCTTATTATGTAGTATATACTGGGTAAGACTTTTGCATTCCTTCCAGGTTTATTTATTTCTGAGGTTAGAGGATGTTTAATGCGGCAATTGGATTTCTGGTGTGGAAAATAGTGAACATTTTTTGGTCAATATACTCCGTAATATATATAGATTGAGAAAAGCTTGATTTTTTATTGAGAAACAACCAGAGAATAATTATTAATATTGCTATAGTTAGTCTTTTACAGTACTTTGCACATTTTACTGAAAACTTATAGATACGATTAGTTAAATAAAATAATAAATATATTTGATGGATACTTTAACAAAAAACATGAAACCCTTGAGGCAAGGCCCATCTGTCTTTGTCACAAGAGAAGCTGCTTTTCATCACTGTTGCTTTTTCTTCATTTGGCGTGGAATTCGGCAAAGCAAACGGCTTTATTATATATAGAAGATAGATAAAATAATAAATGCAACTCTCCAAATGGTCTATCAGTATGTTCAGGGCTAACACCAAGCATCTCCTACTTCACTAGTGGAAATAATTTAAGTTGATGCACAGAGTATTAGTGGTTCCATTGTAAACTATCTATGGTTATTCATGTGTATATATGGCTACATATTTTTGTATTTTGATAACTCTTGTCAAAATTTTGCTAGGTTTGCTAAGTGAGGGATAAATGGGTAAGATGCTTGTATCAAGAAACTTCAAAATTTTCTCTTTTCCCCCTCATTCACTTTTGAAGTTGTGTGATACTGTTGGTTGTTGGCACGCCCCTTGTCGTACATAATGCTACATTCTGAAAATAGAAAAACAAATTCTTTTCTTGCCGTTTTATTTACTTGTCCTATGAAGTATGAATACTGTAGGTGTGTTGCTTCCTTGTACCCAACCCACTTCACTTACCCGCATTCAGTTCAGTTTGCTAAGAATGCGGTTCTACCTCACCTCTAAAGCACTCATTTAAGCTTTAGAAACTTTATGAACTTAAACAAACACAAAATATGAAAAACAATATCGGGAAAAGTTGTGTTATTTAATGTTTAAAAGGTTGAGAATGAAGGTAAAAGAACATTACTCAAAATGAGAACCTTTGTAGATTTGTAGAGTCAATTTTTTCCTTAATTCTCTTTCCATGAAAAAATTCACTTTTTTTGTCTATGGAGTGCATATTGGAATTTTTACGTGCATCCTAATTTTCTTTTTCTTTTAGTGAGCACACTGTTGTGCAATATGACATGGTCAAGGCACTAAATGCGTGGGGAGATGACATCACCTCGCTCGTCTGGTTATGTAGATCCTGGTTGGGAACATGGTGTAGCCCAAGACGAGAAGAAAAAGAAAGTCAGATGTAATTATTGTGCGAAAGTAGTCAGTGGTGGGATATACAGATTAAAACAGCATTTAGCCCGCCTCTCGGGTGAAGTGACTTATTGTGACAAGGCTCCTGAAGAAGTTCGTTTCAAAATGAGAGAAAATCTAGAAGGATGTCGTTTCAGTAAAAAGCCTAGACGTGTTGAATATGATGAACAGACATATATGAATTTCCACGGCAGTGATTATGCAGAAGAGGAGGATCAGATAGGGTACAAGAATAAAGGAAAACAATTGGCTAGCTATAATGACAAGGGTTTGGTTATAAATTTAACCCCCCTGAGATCACTAGGCTACATTGATCCGGGATGGGAACATGGTGTTCCCCAGGATGAGAGAAAAAAGAAAGTAAAATGCAACTATTGTGAAAAAATAGTGAGTGGGGGTATAAACCGTTTTAAGCAACATATAGCAAGAATACCAGGGGAAGTTGCACCATGTAAAAATGCTCCTGAAGAAGTGTATCTTAGGATAAAAGAGAATATGAAATGGCACCGAACAGGACGAAGGCATAGACGACCTCACACTAAAGAATTATCAGCCTTCTATATTAATAATTCAGATAACGAAGAAGATGACGAAGATGAGTATGAAGATCTCGAAGAAGATACAGTGCAGAATATGAGCAATGAAAAATATTTAGTGGGAGATAATAAAAGAGTTGAGAGCGACTCAAGAAGGCATTTTAGAGGGGCATTTCCTGAACCATTAACAAAAAGGTCAAAGTTTGACACATATGGGGCAACACCAAAGGCACTCATTCCTCAAACTCCTCTTGGGAAAGGAAAGGCAGGTTCCGACAAAAAGGCCTTCAAGGAGGTTGTGTCTGCAATATGTAAGTTCTTCTATCATGCTGGAGTTCCTCCTCATGCAGCAAATTCTCCCCATTTCCATAAAATGTTGGAGTTGGTTGGTAATTATGGACAGGATTTCGTAGGCCCTTCCAGCCAAATGATATCTGGAAGGTTTCTGCAAGATGAAATTGCGGCTATAAAAAACCATTTTATTGAGTATAAATCTTCTTGGGCAGTCACAGGCTGTTCTGTTTTGGTAGATAGTTGGAAAGATACACAGGATAGGACATTAATCAATATTTTGGTTTCCTGCCCCCGTGGTATGTACTTTGTTTGCTCTGTTGATGTAACTGATGTTATTGAGGATTCAATGCATCTATTCAAGCTTCTTGATGGAGTAGTTGAAGAGATGGGTGAGGAAAATGTCATGCAGGTAACTTACCATGTCATCAAGCTTAATTCTTTCCCCCATTTTGGTCAGTTATCATTATCCTTCTATTAGCTAATTACCATGTGCAACACCCATGCGCACACACATACACAGAATAATAACAGCAACACCAACAATCACTTTTACCATACAAAAAAGAGCTATTTCAAAGCTTAATTTTGTCCCTAAAATACACATTTCGTATCTTTTTGTTGTCCCAAAAAACAGTCACATTTCCACATGAAACATCATTTTTCATTGGATATAATGTATTATTTAAAGAAAGAAGTGTTCAAACAAGATAAATGCGTGGAGTAGAGTTGAAGAAACAAATAAATCTAAAGTAGTGTTGATCATCTATAAGAGTTGTACCTTAAGGAAATGTAAAAGTTGTACCTTGATGAAATAAGATTTTTTTTAATATTTTGGACAAAGTAGTAATTATCTGTCCGTGCAGGTGATCACTCAGAATACACCAAGCTATCAAGCTGCAGGAAAGATGCTTGAAGAAAAAAGGAGGCATTTGTTTTGGACACCTTGTGCTTCAGATTGCATTGATCGAATGCTTGAAGATTTTTTGAAGATAAAATGGGTTGGAGAATGTATAGAGAAAGGACAGGAGGTCACGAAATTCATTTATAACCGACTTTGGTTGTTAAGTCTAATGAAAAAAGAATTTACAGGGGGGCAGGAACTTCTAAGACCATCTTTCACCAAATTTGCTTCAAGTTTTACCACCGTCCAGAGTTTGCTGGACCACAGGAATTGTCTTAAGAAAATGTTTCAATCAAACAAATGGCTCTCATCTCGATGTTCAAAATCAGATGAAGGCAAAGAGATTGAAAAAATTGTTATGAATGCTTCATTTTGGAGGAAGATGATGTATGTGAGGAAATCAGTTGACCCTATCTTGGAAGTTCTTCACAACATCAATAACAATGAAAGCCATACAATACCTTTTATCTACAATGATATGTACAGAGCAAAACTTGTGATTAAAGCTAATCATAACGATGACGTGCGTAAGTACCAACTCTTTTGGGATGTGATAGACCGTCATTGGAATATTTTATCTCACCACTCACTCTACCTGGCTGCTTACTTTTTGAATCCTTCATACCGGTATCGTCCTGATTTTATCCCGGTAGGAGAGGCTTATTTCTTTTAAAAGTTTAAATAATGTAATTATTCAAAAAATGGCTTAGCTATTACATCTGTTTCTCTTTGTAGCATCCAGAGGTTGTACGTGGGCTGAATGCATGTATTGTTAAATTGGAAGCTGACAGCACCCGTAGAATTTCTGCTTCTATGCAGGTTGTACTTGGGCTCATTATTAATATTAATATTTGTAGAAATTCAAACCAGCTGGCTATATAGGGCAAGAATAATAGTTTCCTATTATTGTGGATCTAGAGTATCTTGAGATCTTATTTCCTATTATTGTGGATCTAGAGTATCTTGAGATCTTATGTGATATATATATGTATAGCTGCATATTTTCTTTCCTTAATAGTAGGAGTAGTTCCTAGAAATCAGGATCAGTTCAAAGGGATCCTTGTGTATAAATATACCCAAATTCATCATAATACACAAGAGAAATAATTCCAATTCTGATCTCCTTCATGGTATCAGAGCCTCCGGGTACTTGAAACCCTAATCTATTCCCTATTTTCCCATCTTCGAGCCCCTCCTCTTTCTCTCTCGGAAATCCAGTCAAACATGGTTGAATCCGAGCAGACCTCCAGGGACTCATCCTCATCGATCACTCCATCTCCCATCAATCCTGTCACTACTCAGATCTCTCCTGAAACCATTGTCAATCCCATCATCAACCACAAACTAAATGGCCACAACTATCTCCAATGGTCTCACTCCATGATGATGTTTATCAGTGGACGAGGCCGTGATGATTATCTTACCGGTAAGGCTGTCCAACCGGATTCCAGTGACCCTAAGTTTAGAACCTGGAGAGCAGAAAACAATCTAGTTATGTCTTGGTTGATTAGCTCGATGACTACTGAGATAGGGGAGAATTTCCTCCTTTACACCTCAGCCAAAGAAATATGGGACGCGACACATGACACCTTCTCCAGCAGTGAGAATACCGCAGAACTCTTCCATGTGGAGAGTATTCTACATGATCTAAGGCAAGGGGACAACACAGTCACCACCTATTTCACCACCCTTACACGGTATTGGCAGCAGGTGGATCTCTTTGATTCACACGAATGGAAGTGCCCTGATGACAGAAGCTACTTCAAACGAATAGTAGAGACCAAACGCATCTTCAAGTTTCTAATGGGACTTGATAAGTCTCTTGATGAAGTGCGAGGTCGAATACTCGGAACCAAACCATTGCCAAGTCTCCGCGAGGCCTTTTTCCAGGTTCGTCGAGAGGAAAGCCGCAGAAGAGTCATGATGGGGCAGTCAAATGGCCCGACCATCGATGATGGATCTGCCCTTGCGACTGTCAAAGATCACTCAGTCACTGCCGAGTCTGCTGCCTGTGCTGCCCGCGGGATGCTCCAATCACCAGGAGATAACCGGCCACGAAGAGGACGCCCTTGGTGCGACCATTGCAAGAAACCTGGCCATGTCAAAGAAACCTGCTGGAAACTACATGGTAAACCAGCAGATTGGAAGCCGAACAGGGCCACATCTGATCGTGAGAGCCGGGTAAACGCTGCCTCCATGGAGGCAACAAAATCCCAGAGTCAAGTTCCCTTCACAAAGGACCAGCTGGAACTGCTTCAGCATCTACTCAGCAAAACCAGCCTATCAATCAGCCCACAGCCATCTGAAACAGGGAGCAGATTCGTGCACAGTAATGGAAACCAGGCCCTACATGTAGCTCAGCCTCCATCTACGCCTTGGATAGTAGACTCAGGCGCATCAGACCACATGACAGGTGATAGATCATTGTTCTCAACTTATACTCCGTGCCAGAAGTATCAAACAGTACGAATTGCCAATGGTTCACGCTCGAGAGTTGCTGGAATAGGAACCATACACCTCTCGAGCAAACTTACCCTACACTCTGTGTTATTTGTACCCGAACTTGATTGTAACCTACTCTCTGTTAGCAAAATAAACCAGGATCTTCATTGTGAGACTAAATTTTTTGCCAAATCTTGTGTTTTTCAGGACTTGGGTTCGGGGAAGGTGATTGGCAATGCTGAACTGTGTGCAGGCTTGTATCTCCTCAGAGTAGACTCCTCCTCTTCTGTCCCCACTCAAAGCCACAATAATGGCAGTGTCAAACCACAGTGTTGGTCCATTCAGAGTCATGAGTCAATAAATTTGTCCAATAAGACCGATGCCATAATGTTATGGCACTATCGTCTAGGTCATCCAAATTTCTTGTACTTGAAACATCTATTTCCATCATTATTCATTAACAAAGATGCCAAGTTATTTCAATGTGATGTTTGTCAATTCTCAAAGCACACTAGAACTACATACATGCCACGACCTTACACACCGACTCATCCTTTTTCACTTATCCACGGTGACATATGGGGTCCAACCCGAATTCCTAATGTGTCTGGGGCTAGATGGTTTCTGTTGCTCGTTGACGACCATACCCGGTTGAGCTGGACTTTTCTCATGAAAGACAAAACCGAAACTAGCCAAATCTTCAAACACTTTCATGCCATGATACGCACCCAATTTCAGGCCACCATCCAAGTGCTCAAAACCGATAATGCACGAGACTTCTTTAACTCAATTCTCAGCCCTTATCTCCAAACTTCGGGCATTGTCCACATAAGCTCATGCGTAGACACACCCCAACAAAATGGTGTGGCTGAACGCAAAAATCGTCATATCCTTGAGGTTGCTCGCTCACTACTCTTCCAATCAAATGTGCCTAAGAAATTCTGGGGTGAGGCAGTCCTCACCGCCACATACCTTATCAATCGGATGCCCTCACGTGTTCTTAAATTCAAAACTCCAGTCAAAACCTTCCTTGCCGCCTATCCTAACTCACATTTACTCTCCCAAATTCCTCTCAAAATATTTGGATGCACTACCTTTATCCACATCTACCCTCACAGCCGAGGAAAACTTGATGAAAGAGCACTCAAATGCATCTTCCTCGGCTACTCACCAAACAAGAAAGGATATAAATGTTTCTCCCCTCTTACCAAAAGATTCTATCACACCATGGATCTCACCTTCTTCGAAAATAAACCATTCTATCCCAATTCTGTAATTCAGGGGGAGACAACCACAGAACATGAATCACAAAATTGGGACTGGACATCCCTCATTGATTCGGTCCCTAGTCCAAATTACTATAACCCGGTGGAAACCCCAACCAGCCAAATTCTAACAGATTCCAGCCAGCCTCTAACCAATCCGCAACCTCCAGCAGGTCCTAGCCGGCTTTCAACTCCATATACCACATCTCCAAGTTCACATGAGTCTCTGAAAACTCCCAAATCATCCTCCCATGAGTCTGTCATACACCCAAAACACCTCCTTCTACCTGATGAGGAGGTAAGAGTCTACACTAGGAGACAACAATCTCAGCTGCCTGCCCAGAATCAGCAAAACCAGCAGCCGAATCCGAACTCAAGAAACCCAGAAACAACACAGGATGAAGCTGAAATAAGTGTTGAGGCAATGACAGGTGGGGATCCTGAGTTAGACTTACCAATTGCTCAGAGAAAAGGAGTCCGCTCATGTACTCAACATCCCATCCGCAACTACATGACCTACTCCAAACTGTCGCAGAGATTCAGGGCATGTGTGACTGCTCTAGACAATGTCCAGATTCCTAGAACAGTCCATGATGCATTAAGGGTTCCCAAATGGAGAGATGCTACTCTAGAAGAACTTCAGGCTCTAGAGAAGAATGGTACGTGGGTCTTAACAACTCTACCACCTGGAAAGAAAACAGTGGGGTGCAAATGGATTTTTTCGGTAAAACAGAAAGCAGATGGAAGTATTGAACGATTCAAAGCTCGTCTTGTAGCCAAGGGCTACACCCAATCGTATGGAATTGACTACCAGGAAACATTTGCTCCTGTAGCCAAACTCAACACCGTGCGAGTCCTGTTGTCCATTGCCGGGAACCAAGATTGGCCCTTATTTCAACTAGACGTGAAAAATGCCTTCCTGAACGGAGACCTAGTAGAAGAAGTGTATATGGATGTCCCACCTGGCTTTGAAACTGACCAAACACAAGGCAAAGTATGTAGACTACGCAAGTCACTATATGGGCTCAAGCAATCGCCTCGGGCATGGTTTGACAGATTCACAAGGGTACTTAAACAGGATGGCTACCTACAGTCCCAAGCCGACCATACTCTATTCTTCAAACATTTCACCGATGGTAAGATCACTATACTAATAGTATATGTTGATGATATAGTTCTCACTGGGAATTATGACGAAGAAATAAGAAGACTCAAGCTCCTATTGTCAAAAGAGTTTGAAATCAAGGATTTGGGACATCTAAGGTACTTCTTGGGAATGGAAGTAGCGAGATCAAAGGCAGGAATTGCAGTATCCCAGCGGAAGTATGTCTTGGATCTCTTAAAGGAAACCGGCATGATTGGATGTAGGCCGGCAGACACTCCTATGGACCCGAACACAAAGTTGATGCCTCGAACAGAAGAGATGGCTGTGGACAAAGAACAATATCAACGTCTAGTTGGGAAGCTAATTTACTTAACTCACACACGTCCTGATATCAGTTTTGCAGTCAGCCGTGTGAGTCAATTCTTAAGCAACCCGTCGGTCTCCCACATGGAAGCTGTGTATCGTGTTCTTAGATACCTCAAGAGGGATCCTGGAAAGGGTCTAATGTTCAAAAAGACTCACAATCACTCTCTAGAAGTCTACACAGATGCGGATTGGGCTGGATCCCCTAGTGACCGAAAATCAACTTCAGGGTATTGCTCCTATGTGTGGGGAAATCTAGTGACATGGCGTAGCAAAAAGCAACAGGTGGTAGCACGCAGCAGTGCTGAGGCAGAATTCCGAGCCTTAGCTCAAGGCATTTGTGAAGGAATATGGTTAAAACGGCTACTAGATGAACTCAAAGTGAACATTTCTGGACCTATAGACATTATGTGTGATAACCAATCAGCCATAGCCATTGCCAAAAACCCGATCCATCATGACAGAACAAAGCATGTTGAGATTGACAGACACTTCATCAGCGAGAAGATAGAGAGCAATGTTATTGCACTAAAACATGTTTCATCCAGAAATCAAGTGGCAGACATTCTCACAAAGGCACTCTTTAGACCAAACTTCATTGAACTAAGTTCAAAACTTGGTTTAATGAGTATATACCAGCTAATTTGAGGGGGAGTGTAGAAATTCAAACCAGCTGGCTATATAGGGCAAGAATAATAGTTTCCTATTATTGTGGATCTAGAGTATCTTGAGATCTTATTTCCTATTATTGTGGATCTAGAGTATCTTGAGATCTTATGTGATATATATATGTATAGCTGCATATTTTCTTTCCTTAATAGTAGGAGTAGTTCCTAGAAATCAGGATCAGTTCAAAGGGATCCTTGTGTATAAATATACCCAAATTCATCATAATACACAAGAGAAATAATTCCAATTCTGATCTCCTTCAATATTATTATTACTATTAATATTATCATTATTTTTAAAGTTGTTTTATGAAGATGGCTGAATCTCTTCCGTTCTATCTTGCCTGCTGCTAACAGCAACTCCTGTGATATCTAGATATCTGATTTCAATGCTGCTAAAGCTGATTTTGGGACTGATTTGGCAATTAGTACCAGAATGGAGCTGAATCCAGGTTAATATTCTATCCATAATCTTTTGAGAACAGTTTCCTTAGTGGAACCAGAGATGATAATATATGTGTTTCACTTATTCTGTATGGAATTTTGAAGTTGTACTGACATATATAGTCCTATCTAGCTGCATGGTGGCAACAGCATGGGATAAATTGTTTAGAGCTACAGCGCATAGCTGTACGAATACTAAGTCAAACTTGCTCATCTTTTGGGTGTGAGCATAACTGGAGCATTTATGACCGAGTTCATGATCAAAGGCATAACTATTTGGCGCAGAAAAGGTTGAATGATGCGATCTTTGTCCATTATAACCTGCGATTTAGGGAACGACAGAGGAAAGTGTCCAATGATCCCATTGTACTTGACAGTGTGCTACAAGAAAGTTTATTTTATGACTGGATTGTAGGGTCAGACAGAGAAGTCCTTCAAGAAGATGAGGTACTAACTAGCCATTCCCTGCGCATGTGATGTTTTCCGTGGTTTTGTTAACGGATGCTCATTTTCCTCTAATGTGTGCTTATTTCTTTGTCAATTAAGTCATCTTTTTCCTAATTTTTAGAAGTTTACTCATTTTTCTAAATGATGCTTTTTTATTCTGATAATTTTATCTGAAGTATGTTTATTTGCATAAGACAGTTGTTGAATTTTCTTTAGAGTTTTGCTCACTTGCACATGTTTGATGTACATCCGGATGTACCATATACACAACTGCCCTAGGCTACCTTAAGTAGTTTAATTAGTTGAGTGCCCCACACCTATACGGCTTCTGCCTGTCTGTTCTGTTAATTACTCCTTTATTTAAAGATAGTTATTCAAATAACCATTCATTGGGATCCTAATATATACATTTTTTTTTTAAATGGTTCTCCTAATAATTATAATCTTATTATAATTATTCATAATCTAATGCAGGAAGGTCTGTACAGTGAAATGGAACTGGGTGAATATGATGATAATGATTTCACGGAACATGATGGTGGTGGAAATGGGATGGAGATGATGTCGCTAGCTGGTGCTGCTGGACCTCTGGAAGTTCATCATTGGAGAACAGACGAAGATGAAGAAGATGATCTCAATTTTTTAGATGATGACATCAGTGATTAGAATCTCCAGTCTAAAGCCAACAGACTACATGAAATCAGTTTTCAGGCTTGAAACACAAAATTTGAGTTCCCCCCAGTAAGACCTCATTGTATAAAAATGGCTCACATTGAAACACTAGAATTTCGGAAGCAGCCACCCTCATATTTTGTACTCACACAGAGCAAAAAGAAACATCCAATCCGGGGTAGCTATTTTTGAGCCGCTATAAATCAGCCAGCAGCCTCATACCAAGTAATAGAATTTTTTCTGGTTTTGTGCAAGGGGGTTTGTGAATCAATTTTTGTGCTATACTGAATGTAAACTTTTTCTTGAAATGCAAGAAAGAGGGGTGATGAATAGAGAGGGTTATTTTGTTGTATCCCTTTTTGAAGGGAAAAAACACATCACGATTACATTTTGACCTCTTACCTACAAGGCTACAATGCCGCACGTTACCAAAACTTCTGTCATTCCGTGTCTTCTGCATCTTTTGGTAAAGTTTTCGAAATAGGAGTAAATAGATTTCAGAAATTCAAAATAGTATTGTTATGTTCTCTTTCCAAAATGGGAGTAATATGATAGTATTTGTTACATCTTGGTGTCATCTTGGTGTCATTACTGTCAAACATGTGTAGTACTAGGCTACTAGTCATTAACATAGCAATATTTATTGTCATTAGTAGCATAACAACTCCTATTTTGAAATGAAAAATACATACCATTCATATTCATATTTTGGAATTTGAAAACGTATTCAACCCTATTTAGGGCAATTCCCCCAACATTTTTCATTCTTTGAGAAAATGAGGGGGTTAACCGCAAATTGTAAACTAGGCCTGGACTCGGGCCGGGCGGCCCGACCCGGAACCGGCCCGGCCACTGTAGCAACCGGCCCGGCCCGGTGGCCCGGTCCACCGGCGGTTCGGGTCGAACCGGCCCGGTGGTTCCCGGTTCCGGGCCCGGGCCTTCCATATGGTTAACCGGCCCGGCCGGTTCGGGCCCGGTCCGGGCCGGAATAATTTTTTTTTATTTTTTTTTTGAATTTTTTTTAATTTTTGGGTTGGATTAGATATTTTGGGCCATTTGAGGTGGTTTGGGGTTGAAGGGGAGGGGTAGAGGGTTAAATAAGAGAAGCAAAAAAAAAAAAATGGGGTGGGTGAACCGGCCCGGTCCGGCCCGGAACCGGTCACCGCCGGTTCGGGCCCGGGCCCTCCTATTGGTGAACCGAGGCCCGGCCGGTTCAAGGCCCGAACCGGGCCCGGCCCGAACCGAGTCCAGTCCTACATGGTATGTGACAAACAAAAAAGGTAAAACACGACAAGTTAGAGGGCGGGGAAATTAATAATGATCATATTCCTGCTCAGTTATTGCATATAATGACTACTTAAAAAGCCTGATATTTTTACACCAAGTTACAACTCACAAACAAGTACTAAAAACAAAATTTTAATTGCAGGTTGAAGACAAAATTCCCAACGGATAGCGATAATAAAATAATTAATATGCATACAACGTCTCAACTAATTCCGCTAACTGCTTCATCTCCCATAAACTTGGTCCTCTTTTGCTCATATCCAATTCTGAGAATATAGTTCCATTTACTATTCTCTTTTTTATGTATCGTTGCCACCATAGGAATGCATTTCTGCACGATTGCAACGGCTCCAAAGTGCAGTGACCAACCTAGCAAAATAAGAAGTGGTGGCTTATTTTTAATACCTTTAAATGGAAGAGAACAAAATGTGTTGTATTTACTTGCCACACCCCTGAAATAAAAAAGATAGTATATTTGTTGCTTGCACTCTAAAACACATGAACATTGTTTGGATTGAGGAGCTCAATTACGAGGAAAATGGACAAGCTAAAAATTTCTCCAATCTCATAACTTAGGGGATTTTAGGGAGTTATTTTTTTTCTTAATTTCTTTCGGGTTTTGTTTGAAGTGCGAAAATTGCTCAATGTTATTATTGAACTCTCATTCTTTATTAGTTACAACAATTTGACTTTTCTATTCAAACACCAACTTTGACCACATTTTATTTAAATGTCTTAAAAACTGTATTTTAAAAATATTTGCGAATTTCTCTCAATGTAAAATATCATCATTACTCAAGTGCCGCAAAGGCTCCCCACCTATGGTGCGGTAAGGGGGATCGGATGTACACAATCTTAATCATGTACTAAAACACATAGAGACTGTTCCTGAATGACCCATAGTGAAATTTGCGAAAAAATTGCATGGACTGATTACTGCTTCATAACAAAGAAGCGCAAACAGTTTAGTGAATCATTTTGTTTTATTCCATCATATTCCGATGCCAAAAAATAGTGAGTCTTTGGCTCCATTGCAAATGATGGAACCATATGAACTTTTTATAATTTTTAAAAAATAACTAGCTAATTATACTAATTGTCAAAGTCATGTGTTGTCAAACATGACAGTCAAACTTTTGCAACTCTATAAATATACCAGTTTTTAATGATAACAAAATTCAAGTTAAATATAGTAATTTTAGATATCTTTTCAATAACTAATTGCACCCCACTCTTTGACCTTAACACAATATTTTTTATCACCTTATACTCCTCTTTCCATTATTTGAAATGGAGCCAAAAACCAACTATTTTTTGGCTTGAGAATATGATGGAATAAAGCAAAATGACTCACTAAATTGTCTGCGCTTCTTTGTTATGAAGCAGTAGTCAGTCTATGCAATTTTTGGCGTGATTTTCACTATGGATCATCCGAAAACAGTCTCTATGTACTTAAGTACAGGGGTAAGGCTACGTACATCCGACCCCCCCTCACTCAACTGTAGGTGGGAGCCTTTGCGGCACTGGGGTAATGATGATGATGACCTTATACTCCTCCTCTCCCCTCCTCCCCTCCTCTATTGAACCAAACAGGGGCTTAAGGTGGGATGATGGATTTGGCACAAATTGTGGAAATAACTCTATCCTTTGTTGGTCATTTCCTACAACTTAATAATATCAAATCCCAGAATTAATAATATCAAATCCCATAAATACTAAAGAGTATTTGATTAACGAATATAGTTCATACCTTTGTTTGCTACAAGGGGAGAGACCATATCCACCAAGTTAGAAGAAAACTGGAGTGGAACACAACATTCGCTATCCCAATTTTTGGTCTACCTCAACATTTGCTTGGAAGGTTGATCGCAGATTTACCACTTCCCTTTGATGGCTTGTTTTCAGCTGCACTTCGCCCATGCTTAAAGGGGCTCGCCAATTTCTTGTGTGGACTTTTAAGTTCTAAGACAGCACTCTTGATTTTAGCGGTCTTAGCATTCTCTAACTCTAAGACAACCTTTGATACGCTCATCTCAGGTTTACTTTTCTCAGGAGATTTCTGTAAAACAACAGTATCCTTTGCACTAGGGTTTTCTGTGTCAGGTTTTGGCAACAATGCACGACGGCTTAACCTAAGTTGTCCTTTGTCATTGATCTGTAATCAGGCAAATTGGTTTTCATAATTAAGGTTGCATTTTATTAAGTGTAGTGCAATGCAATCAGATACTCCCTCCATTAAATAAGATTCATGTTTCCAGCACTACATCGCAAATAAAAGGGGCAAGTTTTAAAAGTCAGCTTTTATTTCAGTAAAATTCCTTTAAAGACAAGCAACAACCAGTTTTAGACGATTATGCTAAACAATTTTGGAAATATGTTTTAGTGGATTAAGTAGTCATTCATAATTTGTAAAAATGTGTAGCTTGGTTGCGTTGACTATAACTAAAAAACATCTGACTCAAATGACGCTTTCTTTTTGGGGAGGGAGGTAAACTATAAGTGAATTTTACATCACTTAAATTTGATTACATGGCATCACACTTCATGACGTCGTACCGAACTACACCTTAGGTTTTGGAATTTTATATCATGTCTAAGAAATAAATACTAGTAAAAGTTACTCAATAAAATCATAAATACAAGTCCAACCTCAATAAGCTTGACATCAATATGCTCTCCTACTTTAACGACCTGAACCAGTGATGAAAAGAATCAAAGATCACACATCTGAACAGAATTGTATTTTTTAATTTGTAAATACACGAAGTTAGAGAAGCTTACGTCTTCTGCTTTGTCCAGCCAATCTGTACTCAATTCACTAATATGGCATAGTCCCTACATTAAAAAGTGTAGATGAGCCATTTCCAGATTACAGGACAAAAGATCCGATGTATACAAGAAAACTATTGAAGTGACAATACCTCTCTGCCAGGAGCAATCTCTACAAAAACTCCAAAAGCAGTAATTGATTTGATCTCACAATTCCTGCTCGAGGAAAAAGAATGCCAAAAAAGAAAGAAAAAAGTATTCAATAACTTAGTAGTTAATAAGTCTATGTTAGTTTGACAAAAATGTTAATTTCAAAAAAGTTAAAAAAGAAATTTGGGGACAAGCCTGTTCAGACAGATTCTATTAGTATGATCATATCATGGCGCAACATAAGCATTTCAAGTGTTAAAATCTACTACAACAAATATGCTAATGATGGCAAATAGTTTCATTTTTAAGGTGAAACTAATTTTGTAAGAGTGAAAAGAGAATAGGAAAATAGTTCCAAGCAGAGGGGCTATTTCTATTGTGGATCTGTGACACCAAAAAGTTGTATAAACAATGACAGTAAACAAAACTGCATTTGCTTTAGGTTAACAGTAAACCAAATCTTAATTGACCTTGATAATGAAACTGTTTTAATTCAAAGGCAGTTTAATAAAACAAACCTGTATATGTCACCAACCGTTGGAACCATTGTGAGATTAAGGATGATGGCTTTGGCCTTTTCTAAAGTTTCCAAATCCTTCGCCATTATCTTCACCTGCAAATTGGCAGGGCAGATCGGTGGCTCTTAAGAATGTAAGTTTGATCTTCTAATGTGAAACATAAACAACCAAATAAGATATTTCTCTAGCTTACGACTCCATCATTTTGTATCTGAATATCTTCAATTCCACTTTCTTCAATAATGCCCTTCACTTTTTTCCCACCAGATCCAATTATAAGATTAATTCTATCAGGTTCGACCTGTGAAATAATTGAATTAGGGAAGGAAAATACATGATAATATCATCATACACTAAAAATATGGTATTGCATCAAGAACAAACCTTCATCACATGAATTATTGGCGCATACTTTGATAGCATCTGTGAAGGAGGTGGCGAGCTCTTCAACATCTCAGCTAATGAATACAAAAAGGGGAGAAGCGAGCTTAATTTACAGTTGAATGTTTTAAGCAAAACACAATGTAATACCCCGGCCCCGCAGGATCCGAGGTAGCTAGTCATACACGCTCCACAGTACTGTCCTCACAAACCAACACGAGTCTTTTACCGTGCACTTTATCCTCACTCGTGTGCCCCCTGAGAAACTTTTCAGGAAACCACTCATCCTAAGATCACTCCCGTGCGAGCACACTTAACTTGGAATTCTTAGTTGATGAGCTCCTTTCAAAATTGATGCATCTTGTTGGTATGAGAAATACTATTAATCTTTTTTTAAATTAATCTCGAGTGTTACACACAAGCAAACACCGTACGAATGGTACAATCACCAGCACTACTGCCGCAAAGCTCGTATGTATATGAACATACTAGACACTGACGGTATCCAGTGACAGTAATGAATGCATGCATTGCATAAAAAATTAGGGCCGCTAAAGTGTTCTTTATTGTACCAGCATGTTAATGCAGAAAGTAATCTTAAAATCAAAGTATCTAAAGTAGAACATCCAGTGAAGCTTATCCCCATATACACAAAAAAATATCATTCATTTCCATTGATTAAAATTCAAGCACAGGGATATGGAAATAAAGTTAGGGTGAGGGTACCAAGGATCTTTTTTCGACCGTCTTTTGCTTGTAAAAGAGCTTGCTTCATGATTGGTAACGTAATTCCAACCACCTAAGAATGGCATGAGAGATGTGTTGAGGTGAAATTGTATAATCATCGTCATAGTCAGATAGTCTAAGTCCCCACAAACCAAGATAAAGTTGCTCATGGAATAGTAGATATCCTTCAACAGTTCAACCAATATAAAAAATTGAACCGAATATAAATGTGCTAATCAATTTCATAATAACAAGTATATTAGCTACCTTAATGTCCATTTGGAATGCAGTGATTCCATCATCATTTCCAGCAACCTACAGTACAAAAATGATTTTATTAAATATGACATTAGTGAATAGAGCTTCATAAAGTAGAAAACCCTATCTATAATACCTTATCTGAATTCCATTGAAGTCCTACAGTTAGATTGGGAGTTGAATTAATATTATACCGTTAGAATTCGGTTACATTAGTGTAGTTGTTTTAGGACCACTGTTATGCAATAGTGATACAATTTTACTAACCACTTAGAAAAGCTTACACCTCAACCTAGGGACACTAAAAAGGTTGACAGACTCTAATGTCAGGGACCCCTTTTTGTGCAACAAAGACCGGATTCTTAAATAATGTATCACAGAAACACTAATTGATCCCTAAACGTCTAATAACCCAAGCTTGCCAGGAAATCAGGCGGGTTGTTTCTTTCCTTGAAGATATGATTAGATAGTATTCATCTCCTCATCAACCCCCCTGATTCTGTCAAGAGTATGAACCAATTACCGAGGCAGTTTCTCCTATGCAATGTGTACAGGACATAAGCAGAATTGAAACCTGTTTCTCTCCCCACGTTATTAATAACATGATCACTTGCATAACTCAACACCATCTACAATAGCATTAAGGCCACGTTTGCGATAAACTTAAAAAAAGGTGTTTCAGCGTTTGGCTTAAAAAGCTAAAATGGGTGTTTTGAAGGGACAACTTCTTCTTAAAATAAGCACTTAAAAGCTTAAAGTTGGAAGCAGGTCAGGAGGTGCTTTAAACTTCAAATCACTTTTTCTATTACACGAAAAATATTTTTTCCCAAACACTACCAACTTTTACATTTTCAAAAGCACTTTCTCTCAAACACTACAAACTTTTACTACTCCATATTAAGCATTTTATCTAGAACCACTTTTAATTTCACTTTTTAAAGTAGGAGCAATCGTTTTGAGTTGGAAAGAGAAGCTTTTTTTGTATTCCTTATTTCAGATCATACATCATGACTCCCATATATATAGGGAAGTAAATGATACATTAAAGGACAAAAGAAACTAAAAGTAATGAAGGAAAATGAAGTGTTATGCACATGCTGGAATATAAAAAGGCATATGCTTTAAATGCTATTTCCAACAAATGTCAAACACTCCCTAAGCATTGCATCCAAGATAAACATGTTTGCCATAAAACTAATGAATCTTTGGACAAGTTCCTATCTGCATTTCATATAATACTAACTCTTGCAGCAAATCGGTCCTCTTTAAGCACACCATCTATATTGAGTTTCATCTTTCCCATGGTAGGCTTGGACCACAAGCTCATTGCTTTCTGATAACATGGGGGTGGGGGTCAGTGTGATTCTTATTACAATCCAGCTTTTTACGCAGTTTATGTATCTACCACATCAGCACTTTTCAATCAGTATAGACTATAGAGTATAGACTATAGACTCTTATATGCTTCAGGTAGTTTCTACAATTCCATAGATGCCAAATCACAAGCATAGGGATCAAACTTCTTTTCCATAATTGCATAGTTTCCCCAATGAGCTGATGGAAGAAATCTCAAATCTCTGTATCTACCATATCAGCACTTTTCAATCAGTATAGACTATAGACTCAATTCCGAAATAGAATTTGATGCCATTCTTCATTTGTTCAATTCCGAAATACTACCTCTGTCCCAAAATTAACTTCGCATTCACTATTCACATGGTCAACTAAAGTTACTCTTAGTCTTTTACTTTATATATCAAACTTTTATCAAATTTAAATTTTCTTGACCAGCCTTTGTAGCAGTATTATGAAGTTTTTGAATATGTAAATTTTATTTACTAGAAATAATCTGTGTGAATAAGGATCAAGTTGCTTCATCGCCAATCAAGCATCGTAATCCGAAATGGGAAGTTGTTTCAGGGTCGGAGGTAGTATTAAATAAGTCTATTTGCTCCTATGAATTGAGAAGGCAGGCAAACAGGTGGTAGTGTTAATCATATGGCAACTGCACCAGATCAGCAAAGGTAACTTGGCATTCAACGTATTGGAAATGTTCTCGCATTAGATACTCTAGGATACCCGTACCGTGCATTCCGGGGGCGTATTTATAATTTATTACAAGTTTCCAACTTTTTTGGTAATTATTTTAAAATTTCGGATACACGTATCAACTTTATTTTATAAAAAAGCACCCAAAATTTACATAATAAAATTCTTAAAAAATGAAAAATTAAAATTAGATTTTACCTTGTTTTAATTCCGCACACAACTAAGTATATGAACGACAAGTAAAATGTGGGATGTTGGTGGAGATGACTTTGGGAGCATAGAGGGCATAGGAGTACTTGAGTTCGCCAACCATTTCATAGATGAACTAGAATTGGAGCTTATCTTTTTCGAAGACGATGTTATCCTTGGATATTAGTAGCTCAAGTGGAAATATGTATTAGAATTTTTAGTTTTTTAATAGAGTATTGTTTTCTATCTCCATTATCCAAGAACTTTGAGTACTTGCACTTTTAATTTCAAAATTGTGGTTGTTTGACTCGTTTCTCATTTTAAATTAATAACTTATTGACTATATTTATATTTAGTGATGCATTAATGTATATGAGATAAAGAAGGAATTTATTTCTAACTATCTTGATAATGTGAAATGGTTCAATACCATGAATGAGCAGAGGCTAGAGGATAATATATGTATATATTTTCAAAAAAATCTTGTAATTTTTAATATTTATAAATACAACCCCATAATTTTTAATAGGGAAAAGGTGCAAATAGACCCATGTACTAACCAAAAAAGGTCAAATAAGCCCTTATTTAGGAGGCTCTATCCGGCCGTCGTCATTTGGGGTAGTTCCCGGTGGATTTTTTTGATGAAATTTTTTTAGCATCTTATTCATCAAGTCTAGTTAACTCATACAAAATTTCAGCTAAAACTTCAATCGGTAAGGCATTCAAATGAATTCTTGAAGATAACTGTGCTTCTAACTGCGCAGTTAATTTCAAGAATTCATTTGAATGCCTTCTCAATTGAAGTTTTAGCTGAAATTTGGTAGGAGTAAACTACACTTAATGAATAAGATGCTTAAAAAATTTCATCAAAAAAATCCACCGGGAACCACTCCAAATGACGACGGCCGGACAGAGCCTCCTAAATAAGGGCTTATTTGACCTTTTTTTGTTAGTACATGGGCCTATTTGCACTTTTTCCCTTTTTAATATTTATAAATGCATCCCCATAACTTTTAATATTTATAAATATACCCCCGTATTTGTATCTTGCTTTGTTTGTTTTATCGTATCCCCGTACCTGTTTCCGCGTACCCAAATATGATTGTCAGTTTGTCACTACCCAAATATCACTACCCCAGGACTATTTTTATTTATAAATACACCCCCAAACTGATTGTCACTACCCAAATATCTTTGTCAATTTGGGTTCCCAAATTGCAAAAAACAATGATAGGCAACCATAGAAACATAAATTCACACAAGATATTCTACAAATAGCACCTTAAAATCCATATCGCCGGAAGCATCCTCTGATCCTGTGATGTCTGAAAGAATTAGGGGAGTTACATTACCCCCAAATTCTTTGGTGTCCAAAACCATACCCATAGCTACACCCGCGATAGAGCACTTCACAGGAACACCGGCATCCTGCAATGCTAAGCACCCCCCACATACGGATGCCATGCTGTCTCACAACAATTAATAAACAGTCATGTGAAGAGGGCAACATAAATCCAGAGGGGTTTTAGGATTTTTACTCTACCAGCAGTAAGAAAGTAGTGCACATACAGTAAGAATCTAATAATTATAAATATGTGTACATAGTTCAGTAAAGTATTAAAAACCAAACCTTGATGAGCCATTGCTTTCAGTTATTGTACTCTCAACACGTATTGTGTAAGGAAAATCGTCGTTAGAAGGCAGTATGGGTTCTAGGGCTCTCTCAGCCAGCATTCCATGACCAATCTCCCTCCTAGATGGTGCTCCCATCCTTCCAACTTCCCCAACACATGAAGGCGGAAAAGAGTACTAGACGCAGTCAAAAAAAGATAAAGTGTTCTACTTAGCAATGGTGTTCAAATAACAATACTGAGCAGCATTGAGGCTCACTGGAACAAGCAGAGGAAAAAAAAAATTAAGCGGCTCTCATCTTTAGATATTGGAGTAATAAAATAAAGTGGAGGAATGAAGATATAAGGAAAAACATAAAGATGAAATATAATAAAATTTGAAATTCTTTCCGGGAGCTTCCCAGTTGTTACTTCTATATGCAATGCATGACGATGGAGGTAGCTGAAAAAGTGGGGGAAAACGTTGACTAGTGAATTTACTACACAGTAGTGTTAAGTTTGGGTATGAATACTAGTTAACATACACTAAAACAAAAAACATCAAAAGAACATGGATCCAAAACAGTGAGATAATAGCATTCATTAAGGAATTAATTGAAACATGATACGGGTCTTGAACTCTTGACCAGCAAAATCAGAGGAGACTTGGGGTATCAATAAGGGACATAAATAAGCAATAAATCAATAATCCAATCAGCATAAGTTTAGAGATTGCTATTAGCAAAACTGATCTATTATGAATATTTCTTTACCTTATTTAAATATTGTGAAAGATTATAATAAGGCTTCCTTTAGAGTTGAGAGATGAGAAAAATTCATGACTATTTTAGAGTTGGGCAGCTCTAGGCTATTGAGCAAGTTTGTCTTGTTGGGGATACCTTCGGCACTTCATGTTCTTTTCGTTCTCCTTACACATGTTTGTTTATTCATTTTTATTTCAGTTTTACAAAACATCTATTTTTAATATTTGTCCCCTTGCCTCTTTACTCTCTATCAACGCCATTCAATGCTTTTGATACCGGTAATTTACAGAAAACAAAATACAACACAAAAATGCATCAGATATTCCGAATAGCAATCATACAAATTTGCGCAACTGATACCTGCAGATAGAATCTCTTATATTCATCTTCATCAACAATGTTATCTATCCTTTGTGCCATTTGTCTGTCACCAAGTGTAACCACTGCTAAAGACTAATAACATGGGCAGTCGGAAAGAGAAGGAGATTAAGAAAACGTCATCGTTGAGTCATAATAACATCACTTAAAAAAACACAGATGAATTCAAAATAACAGGTTCATTTTCAATACATGAGGTCATCAGTTTTAAATGAGCAACTTCTTTGTACTATGTGCTTCTCCCACAATCGTTTGGCATTCCGTTTGTCTTGGAGATTTTGTTGACGTCTGTGAGTCAATCAATCCCAACCCTCCTTAAACACTTTCATAGTTTAATAGGGACCTGCTTACTTAGTGCTGGTAAGTAAAAAGTGAAATTTGGACAATAAAGACTGCATTTTACATGTTCCGAGAATGGCATCACTAAAATGACTGATATTCACAAATTTTTCATGTTCTCTGTTATTTTATGCACATTTTCATATACATATTATATATGCATTACTTTATGCATGCATACACATATCTTAATATCTGTTCTAAAGGATGTGGTACACATTTGAGCAATATATTACAGTACTCTAAGTTCTCTTGCTGTTGACCTGTTTGATAACGCTTTAAACTTTACATGTCTAGTATGTCTCCCAAAGACCTACACTAGAGTACGTACTATGTTGTCTACAATGTAAATCGTCTTAGAAAAACAAAGTTGTGTTCACATTTCACACATATATAAACACAGCAGACAGTCAATGCAGATAAAAACTTGATGCAAATTGTTGTTAGGCCAAACAAGCATCCACCTGTGTTTCTCCTCGCGTAAAAAGAGCACTTCCATGTGCTCGGGGGAGTAGCCCGCAACTCGAACTGATTGGACGTAACTCCTTAAGAGTTCTTCCATCACTTCTCTTTCCTCCCTGTCAAAGTGTCAAACAAATACACGTAAGGGCATAAAACAACTTTTTACAAATAGTAACATAATGACCTTAATTGATGGGAATAGAGATCAACTAATAGAAAACACTCCAAGAGCCTTAAGAGGCTTACGAAAACAACACAAAAGCATTTTTTGATCACATAATTGATGATGAAGTATAAAGTTAGAGCATCTTCAATGCTACGATGTGCACGGTGCACATGTGGCATGAGATATAACCACATAAATATAAATAAATAAATTATCTCTCTCCTTATTTGAATGAGTTTATACAATTTTGGTAAGTTTTTCTTAACAATGTCAATCACAATGTCTACATCTAGATAGTCTCCTTGACATTGCAGAGAAAAACTTACCAAAATTATATTAAATCATTCCAATAAGGAGAGAGATAATTTATTTACTAATATTTGTGTGGCTATCTCATATGCCACATGTGCACCGTGCACATTGTAGCATTGGAGATGCTCTTAGATCGACATGTATTCTAGATACACCCAAGTAATCTCAACTAACTTTTATTATAGCCATATAAAAACACATGCATACTCATAAGATATACCTAGAGTAAAACAATCTGTTCACAAACGTAGGCTATACCCAAAAGCCAAATCACAGGTGAAATGTTGTTAACTCAACAGATATCAAGAGTGAAGTGACGGTATCTACAAATATGCCAAACTGCCAAATAGAGATATCTTGAATGGCAAAATGATTTTCCAGTTTAGAAAAGTCAGTTCATTAAGTCTGTACAAAATATAAGGTGCCAAAATGAACTATCATGGTTATCTAATTTTCAAGATAATCTTTATATATGATTCACACTGAATATTCACCTCCACAATCCGCTTGCGCAACAATCTGGATGTGATCTCTTTAAATACCAGCTTCACGTCTACCTCAGAGAATAGCTGGAAGTGAAAACAAAACATGGCAAATTAATAAAATTATAGTAGTTCAAAAACAAAAATGGAACAAATAGAAAAGTTAATAAATGTGCTTAGTTATTATATAGTATAGAACTTCAATTTCTAGAATTTTACGTATTTGACACAATTTTTTTTAATGACTTTAACTTGGAAAATTCTTGTGAGTGTTTACCTAAGGGGATATTTTTCAACCAGATAGGACCACTACGAAAATATTAGAATCCAACTATGTCTTCTATAGTTCTACTCACAAATTCTTGACATCTGATTTAGTAGAAAAGCTGCAACATGCAGACTCCCGAAATTGATAATTGGTAGTGTAAGAAAAGTCATTTCCAAAACAAACAGCATAAAATATGCAAAGTTCAATAAGTTTAACCACATCTAAACTCTAAAGATTAAAAGATGTGAAAAAACCCCCACTACAAGTTACAAGTACACACTTCAAATGTTAATACACAATTATCTAAGACTGCATACATTCTGAAGTCAAATATAAATATATGTGTAGTACAATAATACAACACCGCATACATCCCAAAAAGGGTCTGCTCAACTTTGTAACGTGACCTGTTGGAGTTGTTAGCTATGGAGAGAGCAACATCTAATGAGCAAAATATAATTTAGCTTCTTTGAAACATTAATAAAGACAGCAAAACACAATATCAACCTTAATAATAAAATTAAGTAGATAGTCCCTCCCTACAAGATTTCATATTTCTCAATTTTAACATTTGGTTTTCTTCCAAAGGACATCGTGAAAGCAAATTTACAATAATCTAATTGAAACAAAACAGCAAGATATGTTTTACTTCAGGGTAAAACTGAAAACATCAGTCTACAATTTTTTTAATTCAAATACATAAAATTATGCATGTAAAAGATTACTTTATGTGATAAATTGTTTCCACATATCATATACTACCTATGTCTCATAAAATTGCTTATTCCACAAGTGGCAGTTTCAAAATACACTTGACCTACAGCATGTCCTATAGGTCAGCAAGATATGTTTAACTTTTGAGTAAAATTGTAATATCATTCTACAAGACTACAATTAAAAAAATACTTGAACACATAAAACTCTGCATGTAAAATTAAAATATGTTTGTAGATATAACATAATCCCTCTGTCCTAATTTATGGTTTCCACTTACCTTTTTCGGGGTATCTCATATCAAGGTTCCCTTTCCTTTTGGGAAAAAATTATACGTAGTAGGTGTTAAAAAATAAACACACTCATAATAATACCACTATTCATTAAATACTCCACCCAATTACATTCTCACCCACCCAACTATTTACTTTAGCTATTTACCTTTTTTGATCTTTCTCTTTCCTAAGATTTGTCCTCAAACTACTTTATTTAATTACTTGCCTAAAAATTGTGCCCTTTTGCTATGGGAGCTTTTGCTGTGTCTTGTAAACTTCTCTTAAGTGACAGATTCAAAAAATACTTCACCTGCTTTTTCTTACTTTTCTGGTAAACATGTTCCATTTGAATATTCAAGTATATAGTTCCCTCTCTATCAAATCAACTACTTCCTCACTACTCTAATTATCTTATCTCATCTGTTATCACCTACCAATTAAATATTATATTTTACATTTTTATTTTGTATTTAACCTATTTCTTAACAAGTGTGTTAAAACCTACTTTGAACTTTATACGAGATAAGAGAGAATGACCTTCTAGATTATATAAAAAAATCATATGTATATTATTGTGTACAACCTCCGTTCTTTAATAGTTGAAACACCTCGACTTTTGCACTATTCACATACTCCCCTTTGACCACATTTTATTTATTGATGTACTCCCTCTGTATCACTATAGGTGTCACCCATTCTTTTTTAGGCCGTATCAAATTAATTGTCACATTTAATGGTCATGTTACAACATACATAGCCAAACTACGTGAAAAGTGTACCGTGACTCATGATACGGAGGGAGTATAAAACAATCATATATAAGATCTCTTTTTAAGTTTCTCTTGATGTAAAAAAATAGCCAAAGTTGTTAATGGTCATGTTTTGGAAAACATGAAAGTCAAATTTTTGCAACGGATATACTAGATTTACATAGCACATTGATTATCACTTATGTCTCCTTTGGTGATACCAAAGAAAAGTTCAAAATGAGACTACAAAGCTATCGAACCAATTTCTTTTTTAAAGGACTAGTGAATTGAGAATGCATGGAATTATGAATAAATAGACTCAGGGTACTACCAAGGGAATAAATTTCCTTCCAGGTGGCTTTATGTGAACATCACCTTCATCAACTTCACCGTCAACAACGACTTCTTCATCCTCTTCTTGCAATGACTCTAGTGAAAGTTCATTGGGTACAAGCTCTTCTGTCTTCTGAACATAGCCCTTTTCTGAAAGTATGCTTGTAACCTCAGACTCTAACAATGATAATGCTTTCCTTCTAGGAATCTTATTTTTAATTTGTAAAAGTTCCGACAGTTTAGCCCCAGCAATTTCCTGCAAAAAATATAAAAATGTATGTAACAAGGACCAATTCAAATCCTATGACTTGTGAGAGCAGAAACTGAATAGTTAGATGAAAGATAACAAGTGCATTAAACCATGGCTCAGGGAGTCGGGGTGGCTACAAATACTGCTAATTACTCCCTACATCCCATTATGTTAGTGACAAAGGGGATAGACATGTATAATATGGCTGATATTGTTAAGCATGGATAAGTGGGCAACTGAATATAGCCCAATAAGGTACAGGACAAACATTTTGGAATGGACCAAAATGGGAAAATTTGACAAACAAAATAGGGTGGATGGAGTAAATAATTACATTAAGAAAGAACAAGGCAAAATGTCTATGATTTATAATAGATAGAAAATTAGAAGTGTCCCTGAAAAGAACCAAATCTGCTTCATGAAAAGATCTATAGCATACTTCGACCAGATTGTAGAGTTCCTGAGGAGGCAGCTTGATTGCATCAAACATTTTTGGCTTTCCACAATTATCCACTAAAGCTTCAACCTCCTTACATATGGCTTGTACTGCGTTCTGAAACAGTAAACAAATAAGAGTTCAGTCAATTACCCAAATGTTACCTTTTTGAGCGCATTACATTTAAAGTTGCAAGTTCATATGCAACTGCTTATAGCACAAAAGATAAATCCCATTAGTAACAAATACAAAAAAAATTAATATTATGTTCTAAGAAAATGATAACAGATTAACAGCTCTGTAAAAATGCAAGATGGAAAGTATTACTCCCTCCGTCCCATAATTATCTTCATTCTTTCCTTTTTGGTCCGTCCCAAATTTATCTCCTCTTTCCCTTTTTAGCAAAGGATTTGTGGTTCACAACCATTCTTACACATTTCTCTCTCCTCTGCACAATTCTCCACCACACATTTCCCACTTTCTTAATCTCCGTGCCCAGTCAAAACCGAAGTTAATTCTGGGACGGAGGGAGTATGACTTGGAAGTAGCATACCAACATATAAAAACACTTAGATAAAGTGCATCGCAACCGATGCCACATAGTGTTAAACACATGACTAATGAGCCAACAATCAAACCCTTAAGACACAACCAAATAAATTATGAATGTGGTGAAAATAAGTGAACTGATACTAAGGATGTTTTTACTTTGACTTATTTCAGTCTCATACTTAAATAGGCCAGACCATACCAGATTTTAACAAACCAGACCAGACTTCTACCGTTGTAAAATGCACAGATATCAGGCATCCACTAGACCAGATCAGACTAGACTTAAACAGACCAGACCAGATCAGACCATACAATTCCAATCCAAATAAAAACATCTTAAACCAGTTGTAAACCTAACATGAATTGCCTACCTGTCCGACTTGTACAGCTTCAAGCAATATTTCCTCGGAGAGAAAATCGCAATATCCCTATGATAATAAATCATTAGAGGCTAGAGTCAAAATAAATGAAAAGGATAATAAAACATAATACTGTGATAGGATAACATCACCTAGTGAAAGCATATTTGGGGACTTGGGGCATTGGGCAATCATTGAGCTGTTATCTTAAGAATAATTTCACTACTCGGTCACTAAAACAAATTTTTACACTGTGGATGTTGAACCATAGTAATGAATAACATACTACATCATGTTAACAATAAAATGCAACATATTCTTTGAAAACCTGATAAATAAAAGGAAAGTTCACTTCAAGGAAATATTTTTCACATTGACGTGAACACATCAACATGATTTTGAAACCTCCAGTTAAAGTTTATTGGATACACAAACGGAATGCCTTACTTTACTTTTAAGTTATGCTCGACATACATATTTCTGCAAAGTGCAAACATATGATTACAACCAGAAGAGAGATATAGAAGTTTATTCCCGTTTGGCTTATCAGATATCTATATATGTGTGCATGCACAAATTAAAGAAGAAATGCACTGCAGTTCCGATTGAACTTCTCATCGTCCCTATGAATACGTGCATACAGGCTAGCAACAATATCAGGGGTGATGGATCCAACATAACTAGGTATCTGTTTAATGCAAAGTTGCAAACCAACCTCAATCATCAATATTGCATCATCTGTGCCTGCCAGTAACAAATCCAGCCTTGACTCCTCCATCTCTGTTGTGGTTGGATTTATAATGAACTTATCCCCAATAAGACCAATTCGTACTCCAGCAACGGCCTTTGAATTTGGTACTTCGGATAAGGCCCTATATCCCATTTAAGTTTTAAGCTATGTTTTATGAAGTGCATCGCCACAAAACTAATGTGAGAAGGTATACAATGTTAAGGTCGACAAAGAGATCAGCATACATGGCAATTCCAGCAGCTGTCACTGCCAAAGAATCGGGGGGATGCAAACCATCATAACTTAATACCTGCAAAGCACGGGAACTTGGTACTTGAATATGATATAAAAGGTGCATAACGCATATGAATTCGATGCTCGAACGAAGCGCTCGATAAGCTCGATAAGTATGCTGGAATGTAAAATTTTAGGTCATGCTCGAATTATTCGACAAGTACTCAATTCATTAATAATCATATTTTTATTTATAAAATCATAATAATTACATTTAACTTTTGACATATATATAAATTGTACCTATAATTTCAGGGTGTTCAATAAGCTCGAACTCGAACCGAGCCAAATACTACTATTCTCGAGCTCGGCTCGATTATTTATTCAAACTTAAAACTCAGCTAGTGTTCAAGTTCAAACCTTGTTAAGCTCGGCTTGTTAGGTCCGAAATCGAGCTCGAACTCGAATTGTTCGAAAAAAGCTCGATTAGTTAATAGGCCTAGTTTCGATAGATAAGCTTATTAGCGTACAGGTGTAGCATGCACAAAAAATGCCGAAAGATGTCGTATAGGAGGGGGGAGTGTATACCCAAGAAAGTACTTGAATTTCATGGTAGAATCCCTTAAGCATGGTTGGCCGCAGAGGCCTGTCTATCAATCTACAGATATGGACCTGCATAAATGATGTTCTTTCTAAATGAACTCTTACATCTACAAAAAAAAACATTGGAATTGAATCTCATGAAAAGTGATGTTTATTTTGTAGACTCCTCATAGATCATCTTCATTAGAGTGAAATTAAATTCAAACAGACACTTATTTTTTAGTGTACTACACGAATCAAATGAGTGCTTGTATTGTGGTCTAATAACATAATGTGTAGAGAATATAAACAAAGTACTACTTAGTACAACAAAACGTAGAAGAAACTAAATGCAACTATAACTTGCAAGCCCAAAAATACAGTAGTCAAAGACTCAAAGCATATAATATGATAGGTGAGACTATAGCATTGAGATGAGTGGACGACCAATAACAGTAGCAAAAGAGCTTATGCAAAAATTAGTACCTCATGATCCTTTGCTCTACCTTCTCTTTTGAAAAATCCTCCGCTGGAGATGGATTACAAACGTCACACAAAACAATAACAAAGAAAATATGGTAAATTAAGAAGTGAGACCTACCTGGTACGACCAACTGCTGAAAATCTTTCTTGGTATTGAACGGATAGAGGGAAGAAATCAGAAGGCTCACTCGGATCTTCAGAAATGCAGACAGTTGTGTATATAATCTAAAGAGCATAAAATATATCCATGACTCCATCAGAAACTAACATCAGTATTTGTTTTCCTTAACAAAGCTCAAACGTAAATGCAGTTTAAAATCTGAAGTCCTGAGGTGTGGGCGGATACACATACATGTCTTGATATGGATCAATATTTCTTTTTTGAAGGTTCCGGTATTGGTACAAGAATTATCAATGATTTTATTGTCGCTATTGCCTATTGATTTTTAACTATATTGATATTCATAATATCAATCAATGTTTTAATAAAATTTCGTATATGCCCTTCTATCAATGCATACATTTTCAACCTTAGGTATAAATAATACTAATGCAGTTTAGCTGAGAGTTCCATATGTGCAGAAACGTATTGGCAAAGCAAGTAACATCAAACAGCTAACAGATTTCAAACAACGTCAAGATATCAGAATCAATTGGGATAAAAACTCACAGTTTCTCCATCAGTTACAGTAACTGCGCCGCTGGCTTGCCTGCCTATACGCCCTGTCTCTACCGTTATCTGAAAATGACCCCCACCCCCACCCGCCCGACCACACGCGTGAGTGCACAGATCAGTCGCCTTTCTTATAATGAACTTGAAATTTTCGGGAACAGAACTGATAAAAAAGGAGTACTGACATAACGATCTCCAGCAGGAATCCTGACAGAATAAGGGTGGGGCAGAGCTGCATAAGAGCCAGAAGGCAACGAAGTCGAAGTAGCTCGAACATGCAATTTATGCCAGAGTTTGCGGCTATTTCTTCTTCTGGTTAAAGCACTTCTACTGGAAATGGAGGACGTTGCGAGTTGCAGAGGATATAATCTGTAACGAGCTGTAGTTGGAGTGAATTGCAGAGGCCCGCCATGGAATGTGGGATTTGCTAGCATTTGGTCTAGTTGATGAGAGTTGTTTTACTGGGAGAGTGTTGGGACGAAGCTTATCCGTTTTGTGGGAAGCAAAAAATGGCGTTTGTATGAACTTCACGGTCCTCAATTATAACCTTAACCCCTAACCTCTAAAAGATGCAAAATTAAATTTAAACAAAACTAAAGAATGTTAAGGAGTATGGTTTTAAATGCCCCAAACCCCCTTATTTGGAAATTCGGCGCATTAGTCCCTGTGATTTAAAAAATGCGTCAAACCCCTTTGTGTTTTAATTAATCATGTACAGAACCCCCTTTATGAATAAGTTTAATGATTTGAAAATCATTTTTCCTAATATTTTGATTGAATATGCAAATAAATATGTCAAAATCTCTGAATCATACAAAAATGTTAATCATTTTTCTTTTATTTGACAATTGAATTTTTTCACATAAGGGATTTGGCGCATGATTAATTAAAACACAGGGGGGTTTGACGCATTTTTTAAATCACAGGGGGCTAATGCGCCGAATTTCCAAATCACAGGGGGATTTGGTACATTAAACCCTACGGAGTATTTTAAAAATTCTAGAAATGTGTTCGAATTTTTGCAATAATATTAAAATTAATATTTATAAACTTGAAGTATTTTATTGGGGTTTTGTTATTAAAAAAAGCTTTGGACAAAAAAGTGAACATTTTTAAAAAATTCCAAAAATGAGACTAAAAATAAGTCAAAAGACTATTATACCCCTTATTTCACTCACTGATGCTACAGTAACGATACAGTGACCAAAACCCAATAGTGACCAAAACCCGATAGTGATCAAAAACCGATAATGACCAAAACCCGATAGTGACCAAAACCCAATAGTGACCAAAACCCGATAGTGACCAAAACCCAATAGTGACCAAAACCCCGACCCCGATCAGGTATAGTTATCTAACCCGACCAGTTATAGTTACCCGGCCCGACCAGTTACAGTTACCCGACCCGATTAGTTACAGTTACCCAACCCGACCAGTTACAGTTACCCGACCCGTCCAGTTACAGTTACTCGACCCGTCTAGTTATAGCTAACCAACTCGTTCAGTTACAATTATCCGATTTATCCAATTAGGATTATCTGATTTATCAATTATAATAATCCAATTTGACCAGTTCTAATCAACCAATCCAACTAACTAGTTACTCCACCCGTGCGTTGCACGGGAGTGAAGTAATAGTATAGAAGCAATTATGAGGAAATGCAAAAAAAAACCTTCATAGTGATCTAATAAACGTAAACCATAAATACATTTCAAAGTAAGATATCATTGTAATAGCAAACTAAGAAATAAATGATAGAAATTAAATGGAAAACATCAAGCTATGAAAAAATGTACTTGTTACATGAAACTATCAAGAATAACTACGAACTATTATTAATTTCTTTGTATGTAACATTCAACTTGGATGAACTTGTTACTCTAAAGACCAATTACCATATACGACTTTTCATGCATAAAAAGGATAAAAATCATGTAGGAAGATGATAAATGTTTTCAAAGATTAATCCTCCTTTTTCCTATTAATGGTCACTGCACGCAAATTATACCATGCGATCGTTACACTGTGCGCACGATGTATCGAACCCAATATGGCATCATTTTCTAAACTAAAAAGAATAGCAAATAACTTGTCTTCTTCTCTGGCCATCTATTCATCTTTTTCACGGACATGTCTGGTCATCTATTCTTCTTTTCGGTCCAGCTATTTGGCCATTTATTCCTCTTCTTATTACATGTCCAAACATTTTCTTAATCGACTTTCCTAACTTTTCTTCTTTTCTGTTCAACCCCCATCTCCTTCAATCATAATTTGTTACTCTTGAGACATCACCATTTACCACTTTTCATGCATAAAAAGAGGTAAAAAAAAAACATGGAGGAAGATGATAACTATTTCCAACGATTAATACTCACTTTTCCTATTAATGGTCATTGAATTGCACACAAATCATACCATGGGATCGTTACACCGTGCGCACGGTGTACCGAACTCAATACGTCATCGTTTTATTAATTAAGAAAAAGCAAATAACTTGTCTTCTTCTTTGGACATCTATTCATATTTTTCATCGATATGTGTGGCCATCTATTCTTCTTTTCGGCCCAGCTATTTGGCAATTTATTCATCTTCTTACATGTCCAAACATCTTCTTAATCTACTTTTCTAGCTTTTCTTCCTTTATGTCCAACCCCCATCTCCTTCAACCATAACTTGTTACTCTCTAGAGTCTAGACATCACCATTTACCACTTTTCATGCATAAAAAGAGGTAAAAAAACATGGAGGAAGATGATAACTATATCCAACGATTAATACTCACTTTTCCTATTAATGGTCATTGAATTGTACACAAATTACACCATGATATCGTTACACCGTGCGCACGGTGTACCGAACTCACATCATCGTTTTATTAGTTAAAAAAAATAACTTGTCTTCTTCTTTGGCCATCTATTCATCTTTTTCATCAATCTGTCCGGACATCTATTTTTCTTTTTGGCCCAGCTATTTGGCCATTTATTCCTCTTCTTACATGTCCGAGCATCTTCTTAATTGACTCTTCTATTTTTTTCTTCTTTTCTGTCCATCTCCTTCAACTATAATTCAATTACGATTGACTATAAATATGATTAATAATCAAAATTCACGACCTCATGTATGAAAAGTGTGGTGCTTTTCTTTTTATAGGCAACACATAGGAATATAGGATGAGGAGGAGTTGTTTAGATATAAGGGATAGAATCTACTTCTTTAGCAAGGTAAAACTTCCACTTCGATAAATTAATTTAAATTTTTAATTTGATGAATACAAATGATTTTTATTAGATTTATAACTTTCATACGAAGTATATAGTTACATTATCCGAGGTATATAACTATACATATTCTTCAAATCATTTTTAAGGAGCTTTGATTTTAATCATACAAAATATTATGGCATTAACAGTTGAACCACCGGTTAAAGAAAGTAGAGGTCAAAGTCAAAACCAAAATATGGAGCCTAATGAAAACAAAAAAGAACAAAGATTTCACAAAATTATACTCTCTGTCCAATTAGATTTTGCCTTTTGCTCCAAAAAATTTATCACTTTCCCATTAAAGTAATTAATTTTTTATTTTGTCTATTTCTCTAAAAACTTTAAATTTGCAAAGTTTAATGGGACTGGGATTATATAAAAAAAACATACCTATCAATTTTGTACAACACTAATCACAAAACTTTGCAATTTTTTGTGAAACTTGAGAGCATAAACATGAGACCATTGTCAAGATTTATTGTGATTGTATGATCCTTTTTGGCTTCTTTTATTTAGCAATTTTACTGTTTTTAAAAAAAAGATTAAAATTGCAGTTTTGGTTCGTCTAGCTTTCCTTTTAATTAACAATTTTACCGGTAATCCACTTTATTAAGGTTGTATAATCTTTTATATATGCATATGAATGGTGAAAAGAGTTTGATTAGTGTTTATAGAACAAACGGAACAGACGTAGAAATGCAGAATACTAAAAATCTTATAAAATCTTGCTTCTCCTTTTAAACTATAAATTACAAAAGGAAATTAAGGAATACCCAAACTGGTTTCCTATAAATTACAAATAACATGAATGAATCAAAGATAATTATCATAGACAATGTTCACTAAAATAATACTCTAATGCAGGGTGTGTGGTCTCTTACACACCCTTACACATGGGTCCCATTTTTTATCTCACAAATTTTATGTGTAGGACCCACTTATTTCCCAATTTATTTTCATTTTCATTTTTTTATATCACTTTTAACCCACTTTTCATCAACTTTTCCTCCCCGAATCCCGTGTAAGGTCCATATATGGACCTTGTCATAGACCTTGATCCATTTTTACCTCTATCTCTCTCCTCTTTTTCATTTTTCCCTACACACCACTTCATCCCAATATTTATTCTATCTCTATCTCTCTCCTATGCCACATCAGATGCAATGCACCCTCCCATTGGAGATGTTCTAAGGAGACTTCCAAATCAATATCAATCAATGAGAAATAAACATAAGAGTAAATGATTAACTTGGATCATCTGGCGCTTTGTTTTGCGGCTTACCCATCTTATCAATATCAGCCATTGATATCAATATCAGACGGATGTCCAAATGAAAGTTGTGGAGTTGCTAAAAATCATCATCTTCCATCTCAGGCGACTTCTTCGTCTTCGTGTCAATAGCATCACCGTAACCCATACATAGAAGCATTAAAGAGATTAAAAACGAAAAAAGCTGCAAAAGATTCAAGCAATAATACTATAATAGGATGTTCACATTTTAATGTTTTCATCGTTTTGGACCAGTCAGGGGATGTTGGTGCTTCCATCGTTCACCGTTCTGTCCGGTGTAAAAGAAAAGTCTGAAAGCTTCTTTTTAGTGGCTGCGAGAACATCCGATTGGAGGCTACCGTGTGATGGATACAAAAAAATATAGTATTAAATTCCATGAAGACATTAGACTGGCCGTGAGATGTTCATTGAAGGCATCTTAAGTAGTTTAATATCTACTCATCGGACTTCCTATTAGTGGTATTAGAAAGCTTGTTATTTGTTAGACACTTGTCATATATTTTTAAGACTACACATTCAAGCATTGTGGATGCTCTAAATACGGCCATGTGAATTTATATTAAAGCAATAACACTGTAAATTAAAAGATTATGGCCATGTAATTCATGAGTTCACTATAAAACCAAACTGTTTTTTGCTCATTTTCAGATAAGTTTCGTTCAACTGAAAAAGAGAGTAATAAAGAGTCATCAAGTTACTGGTCTTGAATCAGTTAAATTAAGTTAGGTTTCATCTTAATGGGGAAGCTCACAAACTTATAACTCATCAATTAGCAAAGAATGACACACACACTCATACGCATGACGATTCAAAGAATGTAAGACTAACTTTGCAATAAGCCAATAACCATGGTCTATATAATACTTGGAAGAAAACTTTGCAACAATTCTCCTCCAAAGTGAAATTAAGAAGTTTGGGTAAGCTAATGCAGAGTGCAAGGACTGGAAAACCTAGAATAGTTTTCACCTCAGAAAGAAAGCACAAGTGTAAAATGAATAAAACATATAAAGAATCACCACAACCTGTTCGAGCAGCCTCCATAAGCGCATCATTTTTACTCATTTTTATCTCTCCACCCCTCCTTTTTCCTTTTACTTGGTTGTAAATAATCATTCATGATAAAAGACTCCTGATTATAAAGGTGATATATACAAAAAAACATTAGAATAGGATACTGAGAATTAATAGTTCTTTCATATTAATGAACAGCTAGTGGCCTAGTCATTCCATCCTTCATGCTCCCCTTGTAAATCCCATAACCAACATATGTATATGCCAATCTTTGAGAGAATGTTAAAGATGACAACGTGTAAATGGACCAAGGCAATATATGAAGTTAAAAATACCAAAGCTCTTCTAAATGGGAAACCATTTAAAAACAAATTTATATTGAGATCATTTAAGATCATGTTTGTGAATCAATCAGATTTTTAATTGAAGCCCAGAATGATAGCCATCTTGATGGGGAAGCTATTTTGTTTTGAGCTGGTTAGAAAGTTTATTTATAGTTATATGGTATGTCGATTTTACAAATAATTAGTTTCGAAACTTATATAGCAAGAGATTTAGACATTATATTAAGAGAGTTTCCACTTAACTTCTATATTCCAAGATTTCTCAATGTTATCCATGACACATCCCTTTTTTCAATACAAAGAGTGATTAGAAAATAGAAGAACCCTGCTACAAACAGGTGCTGAATTTTTAAAGAAAATATAAGAGTGCAAAAAAATAGAGAATTAATTAGGAATAAATACACTTACAACTTAATTGAGTGCTGATGAATGGAGCATTCTCCGTTACGGACAGAAATGCCCAAATTAAACAGAAAAAAAGAATTTTTTGAAAAACAAATATGGATTGATTATATAATTTTTCGGCAAACCATAATTATTGAATTTGAAACCTATTTTTATAAATACAACCAAAGTGAATATATATACAAAAATATATACAAAACAAATTTTGAACCAATTCAATTTGTAATGAGTGAATATAACATGCAAAAATGAGAAAATTAAAACTAAAAGAACAACATGGAACCTCACCGAGAGAATTTGTTTTGTTGTATTGACTTAAGATTCATCCATATTCCTCCATCCTAATCGGAATAGTAGTAGGTGTGGAGAAGGAATAGTTGTTCTCCATCCGGAAAGAGGAAGGATGATGAAGAAGAAAGTAACGGTAGAGCTATTGCTTGAAGCTTAACATATCTTGCTTAAGTAGTAGTCAAGAAAGGATGAGCAAGGCTGGCCATCCTTTCTTCGCCTTCCTTTTTCCTTTTACTTGGCTGTTAATAAACATTCATGATAAAAGCCTCGTGGTTAGAAAGGTGATATATAGATACATACATAAGACATTAAAATATGATACTGAAAATATATAGTTCTTTCTATTAAAAAACAGCTAGTGGACTTCATCAGTTAAGGAAATTAATGATCTTAAGGACTTCATCAGCTTTTCCCCTCCTTTTTTCATTTTTTTTATCCTTGTATCCTTATATATAAATATTATTTTTATCCTTGTTATTTTATCTTTTATATGTATATTCATCTCTTTTATATTATCTTTTTTATAATAGCTTATCTTTTTATCTTTATTTTCTTTCTTTTCCTTTGGTGATATCATGTATCGATTATTGTTAGCCGACCCCGATATCGTTTGGGACTAAGGCTTGGATGTTGTTGTTGTAATGACTTCATCAGGCTCTTACAATGACAACATCCAAGCTTTATCAAGCTCTTATATTCTAAAAAGGGAGAGCAGCAAATATTTGAAATTTTCATTAAAAGAGAAGTAGAACAATTATTTGAATAAGGAGGGAGTATTAAAACAAATTGGCCAGGGGTTCATTCATATTATAAGCTATCATACTTATATTTCATCCTTGGGTTCATTAATATTATAAGCTATCATACTTATATTTCATCCTTTATGTTCCCCTTGCAAATCCCATTACCATCAGATTGTATATGACAATCTTTGAGTGTTACTTACCGAAAATACGCTTAAACAAAAGCCACCCTCCTAGAAAGAAGAAAATAAGATACTGTTAAATAATAAAAACTAAGGACAAAGTTTGACTTTCTGAGGAAGTAACAAAAAGATGAATATTAGTTGTGGTTTACATATTTAAATCTATATACAAATTCAGTTAGAACAAAAAAGGAAAACGAACAATTGAGAAAAAATTACTGATTCTACAGATCTTTCCTAAGGCAAAATTAACAAACTAATTGAGGAGAAAGCAAGTAAAATAGGCAATGAGAAAGCATCATATAGTTTGAACTAATTAGTCAATTTTTAGGGGTAAATAGACTCATATAGCTTCTCAAAAAACATAATGATACTTGTACCCTCTCTAGACTTTGGTTATATGAAGTTTTTGGGGAAAAGTATGAATGTGGCTTTGCAAATAATAAGACAAATTCAACATAATAATTGAGAAATAAGCTTTGAACTTGCACAAACAATTACAGCCCTTATGGCAGTGAGCAAAAAATCCCAAATGTTGTTCGAATACAAACACAGATCTTATATCCATAAATTACCAAACAAAAAAGACAGACTTTATGAAGCTCAATATTTTTTCATCCTCGCCCCATTAGTCAAATCTGCATGTATCTTATGCGCAACTATACACAGATTTTATATAACTTCATCATACTATCTTTATGGAGGCAATATATTGTTAGTTATTACGGAGTAGGTATTAATATGTATTAGCTTAAGAATTTACAGTTTATAAATTCTTAATTGAATGTTTCAATTTTTAAAAAACTTCCTAAGTTTCAATATCAACATATGTAAACTTATTAGGACGAATAATAATTTCGCTATCGAAGCAAAAGCTTTAATTGGGAGGGAAAATGTCTAATTTATAAGAAGAACAATGTGAATGGAAAATCTACCCTCCATGTAGTCTTGTCGAAGAATAAGGTTAGTTTGTCCAAAACAATCCCTAATTGTTTAAATATATGGAGTTTCAAAAGGTTAAGCGATTCAAAATCACACTAAATCAAATTAGTCATTATAAAATAAAATTGAAACTCACACATGAAGAAAATCTTCACTAATATCAGTTTTGTTCATTTTAAAATTGGTCTTTCAGAAAATAAATTAACTGGTTCATTTTATAAATGATCTTTTTTACAGGAGTGATCCAGTTTGAAGATAAGATTAGATGATATGAACAGAAAAGCAAAGTTTCTAGTGTGTTTTGTTCTATGTTCTTATGTGGCGTAAAGTTTTAAAAAAATTAACATGAATACAACTTGTAAACTTACCAGCTGATTCATCTCTCTTTCGCTATGTTTTCGTGTGGCATAAACTTAAAAAAAATCAGCATAAATACAATTTGTAAGCTTACCTGATTCATTTTTGCCCATAATAAACTATGTTGGTAACTTCACTCCTAGGAATGAGGCCATAGTTCTCATTCTGCATCTAGCTATGTTGGCTGAATGAGGTCATAATTCCTTTGAAATACTTGTTATCTGAATGCAATCGTACAAAGTCTTTCAAGAGCACACATATACCCAAAAATGAAAATGGACTGATTAAAGTTCATACAAAATAACTGCTTTATTGTCACCAGCGAATCATACAAATATGATTATGGCATCAAGAATCTTTAAAAGCATCTCATAACAGTAGTCATCTTAACATTCAATTAGAAATTCATGTTTAAAAAAATAACTAAACATGACACATATTCTTAAAAGAGTCATGAGTTATTGAGTACTGAATCACCAATATAACTTGAGCTAAGCAAGTAAATTAGGCAAAGAGATAATTTCGTATTATAATTAGTCTTTTCTTAATTCTTAGGTTTTCACCCAGGACAAAATGAAGAAGCTCTTTACTTCTTCATCCTCTCCCCTTCAAAAGGCTATATTAATATCCAAGAAACTTGTATTGAGCAAACAAAATAGGCAATGAGCAGATTCAAGATTCCAATTCGTCATTTATTTTATATGCTTTAAATCTTTAACACTCAGTAATGTGAATAAGTCGGATTTACATACTAAATGAGAAGAAAAGAAGTAAATTAGACATAAAGAAATACCACGAAATTTGAAACGTCAGAAAAGAAGCAGAAAATTTGTAGTAAGCGACTAAATTAGGCAAAGATGGAGGAAATTTCAGGTTCCAATTGGTCACTTTTTTTTAGAAAATTTAATACTGAGTAGTGTGAATAATTGAGGCAGAATTAACAAACTAAAAGAGGAGAAAGCAAGCAAAATATGAAGACAGATTTAGAACATGCAAATAAAGACAGGTTATAGCGGTGAGCAAAAATTACCAAATGCAATTCCAATACAAAAAAGGGTGGTAAATCTGGATGTTAGGTAAATCAAGAAATCATGAGGAAAAAGAAAACCTCAAAACCACTGTTGCTAAAGACTGATTCAGCAATGCTAGAGGAACCCTCACTATTGAAGTGGTGAAGCGGTGAGGTGCGGCCAGACTGAGAGATGCTGCAAGCGAAACAGTGGCACGATTGAGAGATGGTGTGGCGGAAGGTAATTCTCTCATGGTGAACTGGTTCGAGGCTTTGAGCGTATGGCGTGCGGCTAGACAACGGTTCCGATCGATGCCGGGATGTTGATCCGAGGGAAGGGTTATTGGGTTGAAGCTTGAAAGGCCCGATAGCCCATATCTGCTCTGTTCCAGCTGACTTGTCTTTCTCCAGCAAGTCAAGGAACGCTCTTTCGATCACCCGACAGGTGTTGAACACAGTCCGGGAGTTGAATTTCAAAGCATCTGTCTGAATCTTGACAAATTCCAACACCTGTGGAGGGCAGCTTTCAAAATCTGGAGTTTCTTCTATCACATGAGCTTCTGGCGGCAGGGGAGGCTTCGGCGTTCTTTCCCAGCGGAAGGGCGATTCTTTTCTCAGGAACAAAATTACATATATGCCCCGGACGGGCCGGACGAAGTAAATCAACTGATGGAATGAGCGGGAGAATTTTCTCTAGTGCTTTTAGGTATAGGATTAACGTTGCCGGATTCGGTTACCCACACCAACCACCACCCTGCCACCATTAGCAATCACAACTTCCGGCAACAACTGCCAGTGACCACCGCCAACGACCACCGCATCCCAGCCACTGCTTTACCCAGCCCCCTCAACTGCCTCACCCAGCCACCCTTCCCCTGCGTAACCCCAGCCCCTTGCCCCCACCCCCAAGTTGCATCTCTAACCCCTGCACAATCGCATTCCTCCACCACACCCGTCAGTACCGGCCGATTGCTCATGACCCTCCCCAACCACATTCTCCTCACCTGCTCCCCAGTCCCTTTTTCTCCAATTCCGCACTGCCGCCAACCCAATTTTGAAAACCCTAATCGCCGGATCCTGGCCTTAGATCTGGAAACGCAGACAAATAAGAAGAAGCTTTGTGGGGCGGCGATATGGGACGGCGACGTGAGTCAAAGGAGGAGTCGACGGAGAAGAAAGAAACCAGGTGTCGTTGCTGGTGCGAAGGAACGGGATGTTGCTGGTGCTGGTGCGAAGGAACAGAATGTTGCTGGTGCTGGTGCGAAGGAACGGAATGTTGCTGGTGCAATAGGCAAAGAAGAAACCGATGGATGATGGAGCAGAGCTGAAGGCAGCGAGATGTGATGGCCTGATGGGCGATGGTGCTGGACTGCTTGCGCGATGTGCGATGGAGCGATGCGCGAAGGAAGAGAGCTGAGATTCGACGGTGTTTGGGAGCTGGTGCGGTGGAGTAAGGGTATTTGGGTCCGTGTACTAACAATCAATCTCTTTTTTGTCCACTTTTAAAATTGCTCTTATTTTTGTGTAAGGGTATGCTGGAACTATTATTTTTGCCATTCTTTCTATTTTATTTACCAGATAAAAATAATAATTTTTCAATTTAAAATTAAATACTACCTTTGTCTCTTAAAACTTTGTCATGTTTGACCGGCACGGAGAATAATAAAGTAAAAACTGTGTGGGCGAGGTATGCACGGAGGAGATGAACCACAAATTAATTGATTAAAAGGGAAAGTGACAAGTTTTTTGGGGACGTCACAAAAAGGAAAGATGACAAAGTTTTAAGGGACGGAAGAAGTAGTTAACATTTTAACAAAAATTAAATATTTGTATTAACTTTTTAGTTTTTATTTTCAATTTTGGATTTTAATTTTGTAATTTTATTTATTTATTTTATTTTTATTTATTTAAACTCAATAGGGCTAGATTTAATGTTTTATAAGAACATTAGGGATATTTTTATACTATTTATAAGTTCTTGAATATATCTCGACTACCACATACTACGTATAATTCAGTGGTATATTCACACATTTCTCCCTCGTAAATTTGTACCAAAAAACTCAAAAAGATGGAAAGCTTGTTTAGTAATTCTAAATAGATTGAAATTTGTGAATTTCCATACAAACATCAAACATTTGAATTGTTTGAATCTATTAAACTATTTAAAAAAATCTAATTTTCTTTAATAAAAGCATTATATTAATAACTAGTTAGAATTATTGTTTTCAACAAATTGTGCCAAATTCTTCAAAAACAAAAAAAAAAACAAATGGTTCCAAATAAGCTCCAAAACTTAAGTTATAAATACATTTTCTTATGGAATTCTATCTTACAAAAAAGGCATAGCTTCTTTGTTTTTACACTTAATAATTGATAGATGAGTACAAAATATTATTAATACAAGCTATAAAATACTTTATTCGTTGTAAAAAGGTTCGTCAAATTGACGTTTCTTAGTCATTCTCAATCAACTTTGACCAGTGATATTTTTTAATACAAAATTATTTTGAATATGAAAGTTAAATCAAAATGTTCCTTATTCAAAATAATTTCGTAAAAGTATAACTTTTATAAACTATTGTCCAAAGAAAAGTCAATATGTCATACATTTTCGGGACGAATGTAGTATGTGATAGCTCACTGATAACCCACTGGTGGTATTGTATAGAGAAGAGAGAGTTAAGCGTTAGAGATAAAGTGACATGGTATAAAAAGATTTTTGAACCCTTTATATACATCCTTCTTGGGGTATTTATAGTATAAATAAATGTTAAGTGCATTAAATGCATATACACGTGTCGACTGGTCTATGGGCGAGAGTTCTGTTGTGCGGTAGAATGTGATGCATGGCTTTGTTAGTAGTATGTTGATCTAACGGATGAAGTGTCTCAGGACAGAGTGCCTGAACCCTCGTCCATGTTATTTCTTGCCTCGAGTGACTCTTGCTTGGGCTAGCCCAGACTAAGGGGGGCTATACAGACTGAAGTTGATCCAATGTGCTTGTATCCCGATTTTGCTATTTATGGTAATTTTTTTGTTGTTGTTGGCCCCAGTCTGGACGAAGTGGGTGGTCCAGTTGTTGTTGGCCCGTTTGTCCAAGAGTATGTGGGTCGTGGGGCAGAAAGGATGGCCAGTGATTTACACGTAACATAGATGTACGTCGGACCCTGCGGAAGAGTCGAAGAATCAAAGCAGACGGGCAACATGCTCAAGCCGCCATTGGGGTACTTTGGAGTACATGCCCCATGTGTGTTTTCGAGGTGTTGCAGTGCCATCCTTCATCCCTTCCTGATCAAGTATTTGAAGCCTATGAACTTGTTGTCGTCTCAACTGGTGCCAAACAATTATACCTTCATAGCCGGATTTTTGATTGACTTTGACGAGCTTAAAACCAAGATTTCTTTGCGCTTACTCTGAGGTGTTTCGGTTGCACTCGAACCTGGGCGGATAAAATGAGAATGAAATAGAAGATCATGGATGCGGTGACGGGGGGTCAATTTCTGGAGGGCAGGACTTATCACATCTAATGTTGTATATGAAAAGGAAGATAAAATGCACAACAAAAGTTCTGAAAATGAGAATGAAATAAATACATTTTTCTTTACATTCTTTTGTTTACAACACTTTTCTTTTCAGGTAATATGATATGCACTAATTAGTAGTGCATGCATAAGTGTATGTTTTTATGTTTGATTTATGTGTATTGTTTATCGTTTTATTTAGTTTGTAAACATTTGTGTGATTTTAGTTGTAATTGTATTTTAGTTCTCATTTGTAAGTTGTAAAGTAGAATTAGGAATTATGGTGTTGAAAAGGAGGACTTTGAAGTGGAGAAAAGGGAAATTTGACTGTCCAGGAGCAAATACCCGATCGGGCATAAGACGTCACCCGGTCGGGTCTGATTCAACAACCGAAAGTGCCTGGAAAGTGCACTCACCCGGTCGGGTCCCTTACCCCACCCGGTCGGGTCAGACATGACCCGGGACCAAACGACGTGCAGAAGCATGAGAACATGACGGATTATTTGATTTTGACATGCACCCGGTCGGGTGGGCACTTGACCCGGTCGGGTACCCGACCCAAGGTGTTGAAAAACACCTATAAATAGCACACTTTTCCTTCACAAATAATCATCCCTTCTTCCATACTCTTAAGCTCAGTTTAGAATAGTATTTCTTTTATATTTTTATAGCATGTTTAGTCTCCAAATGAGGAGCTAAACTTCCATTTCTTGGTGTTGCTCTTGAAGCTTGTTGATTATTAAAGTTGTGAGTTGTTTTCTTAACTTCTTTCCTTGAATATTAATTCTTCCTTTAAATACTATTTCTATATCAATGTCGGGGAGTGTTGCTAAGATGACAATTAGTTAACATCTTGACATTGGTCTTAGTAATAGCTATTCCTTCCTCTATGTTAATATTGGGGAGTGTTACTAAGATGACAATTAGTTAACATCTTGATATTAACTATAGTATGATTCATTTTCTTTAATATTCTTCCTTGAGTATTAATTAATTCCTATTCATATTTCATATTAATATTTTGAACATTACTTAAAGGATCAACTAGTTTTGTTTCATATATTAATTATTACTAGAAACGATCAACGAACCGATGGTTAACCGTTGATGGTTTCACAAGTAAGTAACTTCGGTTTATTAATGCACGGTCGTGGTTAATAAACTTAAGAGGGATTAATTTTGTTGGTTAAATCGAAACCGTTGTGTTGAGGTTATCAATCTCAATTGATTTCATCAAGGAGTTAAGAGATTAAATGCTACTATCAAGTTGGTATATGGCGTTGTTCTATACTTGACTAATAGTAAGGGTTATTAATGAACGGTCGTTGTTAATAACTTTCCTCGATGAATTGGATATACTCCTCGATTGAGTATTCGAGAGGAGATAAGTTATAGATATAACAATGATCGACTGAAATATATCAACAAGTGGAAAGTAGCAATGCCAAGTTTTTTTTATCATTGAATTAAATCACATATAACTCGTTCATCTTCGTGTTTAATTTAATCAAATCACTCAATCAAACCCCCTTTATTTACTAGTTCCATAAAAAGAGAATTATTCATTTCCCTGTGGGTACGAACTCTACTTCACCTATACTACGTGTAAGTGTTAGTATTGAATTTATTTTGACGCACCGTGACAAAGTGCTCGTCATAATATTTCAATCTTTGGGACACATCCGTTTTATGGAAAGATTCATCTATTAAAACTATCTCAATACTCTGACCTCTTGCCCTTAATCATCACTTTACTCTCTTCCCTACCTTATCACTTTATCAATTCGAACTACCCATACTACTTTTCCCTTAAGTTGTGTGTCAGGATATAATATTGCGAACAAAAGAATAAGGGGCGGTAACAAACTTCTAAAGAAGAAATAAATGACTATTGATAAAACGAAGATAGAGTGTCACGGCAATTTCACAATTGGTCCACGTCTTTGACTTTTGATCGCGACTATTATATTTTCGCCCATATACGGTCCTTCCGTTTCGGTGGTTAAAATCGTCGGAAAAGTACCACGAATGGTGAAATGGTAAAAAAACATTAGTTAAGTATCAAAAGTGAACAAAGTGAAAGAAATGAATTAAATGTGAAATTGACATAAAACTCACAGCCCAAAAGTGGAATTAATTATAACATTCTCAAGTATTAGTCCCTTTGTCCTAGGGCAGACATACTTCCAATTGTTGATTTGACTAGACAATCGTTACTTTGTCGTCTACCTCTCCCGGCTCTAAAACGGCTACCGTCCCTGTGATTTGATTGCCGGTCACCACGAAAGCTCATGTGAAAGCTCCCATGTTGATCAGCATTTCAAGGGCGCTCTGGCGTGCCAGAAGGCCATGGCCAAGAATCTTACCATATTCACTTTGAGGTGTTGCATTGTCAGTGAGTGAGCCAGACTTGTTGATTGGGATTCATCATGGGAAACCTTGTCCACTAAAATGGCGGTGGTTGGTTGAATATCCCAAAACTTGGTTATCCACCAAGCAACATAATGTTAGTCAGAAACATTGGACCCACGTTGTCGTGTTCATGGAAAGCTATATTTTTTGCCTTTGTTGTTAAATTGATTTTCTCGTTCTTTAAATTGTGCATCTAGCATTCTAGCATAAGTGCATTGTTCGTTTTGCTAGTTTTTCGCCATCCATTAAATATGGTTCTTCTTATAAACTAAATTCCTATGTGTTCGAATATTTTTTAAAGCATATAGTTTCGGTGTTCTGTTTAGGATCTAAAACGGAAGCAAGGTGCCATGAAACGAGGTATGTCTATGTATTATCTACTCACTATTGCATAGAATCAAAATGTTTTAGTTAAGCTCTCATATGACCCAGACAATCTTTCATATTCTATGCTTTGTCTTTGAGTAGTTGGGATCATTATAGAGGGGAAAAATGTCCACCATTCCTTCCTATTATTCACCATGATATTGCAGATGGCATTCATGAAATTGTTGGGCAAGACATCAAAGCGTAGTTTCACTATTTTTTCAGTTTGCGTAGCACCCCTGCATTGATGTTTCAGCTAAATACTTCCATATGTGTACATCTCCTTAGGTGATACTAGTGCATTTTCAAGTTTTATTATGACCATCCTTGCATGCTTTTGTTTTCCTTCTCATGGTTGTGTGAATCTTGATGTGATTTGAGAAATGCCCATAGTGTAACGTATCTTGGGAAAATTAATTACAATTCAAGCAAAGGGAAAAAGAGTAAGAAAAACTGAAAGATATATGACATTACATTCAACTGAGTTCAAGAAAAACTATTCAAACTTAGCTATAACGAAATAAGAAGTGCTTCTTTGTACATGAACTATAAATTAAAGATTACGTGTTAATTTTTTTTGCAATGCACACAAATCACAATTACTCAACCTTGACTATTTAATTGTCTAATAAAAGATTGTTTGGGTTAGTGAACTTTTTTGTTTCTTTTCTTCTCGAAAGAATAAAAAACAGGGCCATGACTCTTTCAGTTGTCTTTGCAACATCACTACCATGATTTATTGTTTGTTTTACATTCAACCATATATGTCAAGACTGAAAATAGAATTGTCATCAAAATATTGTATCTTTTGTTAAATGTATTTGTATACGGTTTTATAAAGTTTGTAGTTGCTATTAGAATTTTTCTTAGTGGAAGAGTTTTTTCTGAAAAGAAATATGAATGCACCACACAAGTGCAATCACTTTTAGCTTTTGTGATTTGTAGGTCTTGTTATGCCTTATCTGGAACATTGTATCTATTACCATAGCCGGGTTCAAAGGAGAAGGCTGGTTGTTGGGGTTCAATCTTATATTCAGCCACTTCATTAAGATTAGTCGACTTTTTCCAGTTTTAGACTGTCTTTTTATGTTCACTCGGATTTTCTTTTGTTCTTATTTTTTTGCCTGATAGTTTAAGGGGTTCCGAACGGACCCTTAATTATGAATTTTTTTAATATGTAAATTTAGCGTGTAACTTGTTCATTTTGATCGTATTGTTTGTTGTGGTATCTTGCCAACAATTGAACTTTTAAGTGAAAATGTTCTGGTTAGGGTAAGTGCAATCTGCAGTGATTTTGCACTATATTGCCAAGAGTTGTATTATATAGTTTGCAAATTTTCTTTTTAACTAAGGCACAGTGTCCACCCGTTTATTGTTCATGCCTTTTTTCATTACAGATCTTTTACTTCGTTAGATTTGGATTCTTTTGTACTTAATCAATGACGAGCATATGAGTCATCCAAGTTCTTTTTTTTTTTTACTAAAGCATGATTTGATTATTTGCCAAGCCTCATCGTGTGTTTTACAAATGACATAAGCAGCAAGTTTACATGTATTTTCAGGGAAGTGAAAAAGCTGCAGAGACGAGGAGAGAAGGTGCTAGACAAACAGTGATGGTGGCACTACGACGCACAACCTGTTTGGGTAGAAGTATGGGCTTGAGCCTTGATGTTTCTAACTCTTTGATTTATTCATGTCTTCTTTTCATGCTTGGTAGCCGGAATAAGCTTGCCCGCTGCAACACTACTTTTTTGCTACTAATTGAATACATAACCTGTAATGCATGATGACTTGTTTTGAAAGTTCTCATAGTCTTACACATAGTAGACAATTTTTTTGAAACTGTGTTGTGGTGAGTTCCTTGGATTGCCAAAAAAAAAACCTTCGAGGTCAAGATAGTATACCATATATTCAAATCTCAGCCAAAGTGTCTTAGTGAGGTTATATTGTATAGGGTTGGTTTATTCAAAATTGTGTTTTGAGAATTTTGAGGTTAGTTACTTTCTTCTAATTCTTTCACATTATTTGATCTGTTAAGCGCAATTGAACAGTGGATTGATTATTTTTTATATTTTCATTGATTGATACTCCCTCCGTCCCAAAAAGGTTTGATAAATTGACTTTTCTTGACCGGATGGCGGTCAGTGGTCCAACGACAGTCAACGGTCCTCTAAATCCCATGAGACTATTTTTTTTTCAATCACAAAAAAGTCCCATCATGACATTTAAACTAGTAGACCATATTTTTGGAAAAAAATGCTATGTATTAATCTTATCCGGGGAGTTCTCCTAAAGAGGAAATCGCCCAATGGGCAAAAGTATTTTGGTTCTAAGAATCGAGGAAAACTCATGTTGTGTCAAATAAAAACATAAGCTTCCTAGCCCACGGTATAATAATGATGATTTGTCTGTTTCGTCCATTCTTTTAATATTCAGAATGCTTAAAGCCAAATCTTCAATTGTAAATCAAATGTCAACTTTAAAATTTAATGTCGTTGCTGCAAACGGAGCACAAGCTCAAAGATGAGTGTGGGTTGGATTTGCAGAAAATAGCAATGCTTTATAAAGGCTTTATGTTAGAACAAGAAAGGCGTGTGGAGTCCAACTAAAGCCGAAGCCCTGAAAATGTGGGAAGCAATACCGTGGGCTAAAGAGGATCATCGAGACAAAAAGATTGTCGAAACAAATGCGACTTTTGTAGTGTCTGGAGTTCAAAGGGAAAGAGTTGACGTCGAAGTGAGGGTCGTATATGAAGATATGAATGCCCTTTTATAAAAAAAAGGTATATCAAATCGATGGTGCAGAAAGCCATGGAATCAAGCATTTCGTGCTCTAGTTAAAATAGTTGTTTCTGTGTCTGGTTGGGTTGTTAATTTCGAATTTCCGTAATTTTCAATTGTAAGCCCGACAGACGAATGATTTGTTGAAGTTGAATCCATTGATGACATTTTCATCAACAAAAAAACACCAACTGTGAAAACCAGGGGTGTGTTCGGTTCTTGTGGTTTGATTTTGACCTAAAACCAAATATAGAACCAAAGTAAAAAGTTCGGTTCGGTTTCGGTTTGGTTTCACACTCCAAAACTTGGAACCACGGTTTGATTGGTTCGGTTTGTTTCGATTCGGTTTCGGTTTTTTCGTTTTTTTTACCGAAAAGTTATCATTTGATTTAAAATTGATATAATACTTCGAGGGATCAAACATGTTACATAAAGAATGCAAGGACACTACAACAAATAAAATAAAAATGAAAACAAATAAACATGTCTTGAATTATATGACTATATGAGTATGCGAGAGAGAAAAAGTATATATATTATTAATTTACATTGTTTATGATTAGTTCAAAAAAAGTTCATGAGCATATATGTCCTATGTGATATAGTTGAGATGAATATTTATTGTTTCATCAATATGAATTCTTTAAGTTAAATTAAAATAAAAGTTAATTAATACCAATAACTAGTAAAAACATATTATCATCATTCAGTATAGCTACATTATTACAGGCCATGAATGTGTAAATGAATTTATAAACTAAACTAAACATAACACAAACTTGTTTTTCTAGCACAAGAAAACCAAATACTATTAATGATATTTGGATTAGTTAGGATTAATGCTTAACAATTGACAAATAAATTTTATATTTTAATTAGTTCGGTTTCTTCGGTTCGGTTCGGTTTTGAAGTGTAAAAACCAAAACCGAATCAAACAACTACCGTTCGGTTCGGTTTTTTACATTCGGTTTCAGTTTGTTAGCGGTTCGGTTTTATTTGGCTACGATTCGATACAATTTGATCCGGTTTTCGGTTTTCGGGTTTTCAGACCCATAGTGAAAACACCAATTCACCCTTTTTTTTTAAAAAAATAAAACTAAATAAAAAGCACGGCCTACTCCAGTTCTCCCGACGGTGACCTTTTCGGCGGGTCTAGTTCATCACTTCTTCTGTAAAACCAGCAATTTGGCGCGCCCTTAAATCCGAAATCCGCTTTTTGCTGTAGGTGGACAGCAGAGAAACACGAGCGATGAAACCGCACTCGGCTTGGAGTTACGCAAAGACTCCCGTCAAATTCAAGATGTAATTCCCCATGTTTTCAATTGAGCTTCACGGTTGTCATTTTTGCCCATCGCCTGCAAAGCTTAAAGTCCCCTCAAATTCAATCCTTTTGTTAGTTCTATCGTTTTCCGCATTCAATTTGTCACAGGAATGATGATATGTTTAATTTTGTAAGACAGTCCGACGGCTGACAATCTGGTTCCTATCCGTCTCGACATTGAAATCGACGGCCAGCGGCTCAGAGACGCTTTTATTTGGAACCCTTCGGGTAAAGTACCCCAGCTCCAAAGTCTCTCATTATTGTTAGTATGGTTTCATAATCAGCCAAATAACTTGTTAAATTCGTGACTACAGATCCTGACACAGAGGTGGCGTTATTTGCAAAAAGAACTGTAAAAGACCTGAAACTCCCCCCAGCTTTCGTCACACAGATTGCTCAGTCCATTCAAGTATATATAAACACCCATGCTTGCTTTATTTATATATTGGTTGACTGTGCTCTCAGTATTCAGTTATCTACTAAACACATTATAAGATTTGCCCAAATGTTTATCTGAGTTCAAATAACAAGCAAACTAAATTTGGTACTTGCAGAGAAAAATTATTACAGGCTGAAACTGGTCAAATCAGCCTTGAGGATTAAAATATGGATTGCTTTACTGGGTTTAGGCTAAAGATAAAATCACTGATATCTTTAACGAATTGCATAACCCAGTGGAGATAAATTTTAAAGATCAAAATACCAAGTGTTAAACTAAAATTCAAATAAATCACTGATATCTATAACGCATGGTGAATTTCTGTAGACTTCTGCTACTCTGAAAATCAGAAATTTATTATCCTTTCTTCAATTGTTACATGTCTCTTCTTTTACAATTTGTAATTGCTTTCAACTTTGTAGTCACAACTGGCAGAGTTTCGATCATATGAGGGGCAGGATATGTTCACTGGAGAAAAATTTGTTCCTATAAAGGTTGGTAACAATTATATCTGGATGTTCAGTTCTTTTCTTTAATTTTCTATGTTTGCTTTAGTCTGCCAACACAATTTGTCATTGTGAAATATGATTGATTAAATATTGCTGGTTTGCTCAGCTTGATCTTCGAGTTAATCATACCCTGGTAAAGGACCAGTTCCTGTGGGTAAGCGTCCAAAATTGGAGGTGAAACTCTTCAATTCTACAATATATTGATACTTGGCTTTCAGATGAGATATCTTTAAACTTTTAAACTATTACCTCCGTCCATAGACTTTGCCAACTTCGAATCAGGTGAGAAATAAGAAAAGTAAAAATTGTGAGGTTGAGATTTGTGCAAAGGAGAGAGAAACAAGCAGAACCACAAATTCATTGCTTTAAAAAGAAAGTGGTAAAGTTTTTGGGACAAACAAAAAAGGAAAGTTGGCAAAGTTGAGTGGGATGAAGGGAGATCTATTTTTATCCAACCACTTTATCACTGACAGAAGATGGGCAAAACTATTTTATCAGGACTTGAATAATTTTGAGAGTGACCCAGAAGAATTTGCAAGGAATCTTTGCAAAGATATGGGAATTGAAGACCCAGAAGTTGGAGTATGGACATTCTACTTCTAATCGCTTTTCTATTATTGTAGCTTGTAAATGGAATGTATGTTCATCTAACTATTAATAGTAGAAGAAAATCCTCTTAGTAAGAACATTCTACCTTATTATTATTTCACTTATAGTAGAAAATAAAAATGAATAATATTGGACTTTTTATGTCATCATCATCATTACCTCCAGTGCCGCAAAGGCTCCCTCCCACCTTTGGTGGGGTATGGGGGGGTCGGATGTACGCGGTCTTACCCTTGTACTAAAGCATCCGGAATTCCGGATGACCCATAGTGAAAATCGCGTCGAAAATTACATAGTGAGCCATAACAAAGAAGCACAAACAGTTTAGTGAGCTATTTTGCTTTATTCCATCATATTCCCAAGCCAAAAAATAGTGAGTCTTTGGCTCCATTGCAAATGATGGAAGGTATTGGACTTTTTATGTATTTACATTTATTTTGGAGTAGGTTAAATTTGATGTGCTCAAAGTTTCTGGTATCATTTATTTATAAAACCTTCTGTCTTTGCAGCCTGCTATTGCCATTTCTATCAGAGAACAGTTGTATGAAGTAAGTACTATACAATAATGCTTTACCTCTACCATGTCTTTAAAAAGTGTTCTCACTTGTTATATTTGTGAAGTACTTATGTTGTTTAGTGCACAAAAAGAGTTAGGCAAATACAGGAAAAAGGAAATTTGGGGAAAGTGATTATGTAAAATAAAACATAATCACTTTTTTCCATTTACTGCAATTTACTTATCACACTCCACAGAACAACTACAGAATGCTTCTCTTTAATGCCTAACTTAAAAAACAAATGACTTCAACTTATAAAAACTTTTGTGGTTCAACGCACCGGCCTGAGACTCTATGGGAAGGGAGGTCTCAGGTACTCCTTCCTGTTACATGTGCCTTGATTTTTATATTAAGTTCAGATCCTGGGAAATAACAGGCAAAGCAAAAACGGCAAGTAGAGGTTATTTTCTTATGTTTAGTTTTGCACTTGATCAAAAAATCATTTTGCGTATAATTAGAGCTCTTATATAATAGACATAAATTAATAAGATGAGTTTGAGCAAATATCTAAAATAATTTTATTGAGTTTCAGCCTATCTTTCATTTTCCCCAACTTTTTTACTTTCCAATTTTTCTCTATGTTTTCCTCCCTATTTTCTCTCCCTGGTACAGAGTATTTATTTCTCTATAATCTTATTGGATTTATTATAGGCATACAGTAGTAGCAATGTGAACATTTTGTGAGATGCTAAAGAATTGATGGGGGGATTTGACTTTGCACCCCATATGTTGGGCAAAATTGGACTTTGCACCCTGTTTGTTAAAAAAATGTCGGCATCCCAATCCTTTCCAAAATTTTAAACTGATGGGATGCATTCATTATTAATATTTTAAAAATGGGTTGCAAATCTCAATATCTCCTAAACATCTGGTGCAAAAACAAATTTCTGAAAAATGATAGATGTACTCATCTCAGGATCCATAGTGAAATGGCATTACACATGTAAAAATGGGCTGGAATACATTATAACTCGGTATATCATGTAATGCCATAGATTGCTGTACAAAGTGTTGCATCAACAAGGGAAATCAAAATGCATAAGAAGGGTCGCAGAGGATTTGAACATTTACCTGCAAGGTAATCTTTTGTTTTCTAGTTTTCCTTTTTGATTTTCTGCTAGTTTGGAGATGATAACTGATAACTCAGTAAGTAGTTTATGGTTGTAAGTTAACTATAAGCATATAACTTATAGTCTAGTAATGTAAAAGTCAGTTGATCTCAATATTAAGGTTTGACGAAGTAAAAGAAAATGTAGTTCAAATATACGAAATGCCATCAAAGGTTATGGTTAAAAACTTGAAATAATTTTAGAAACAGAAAAATGTACGAAAGAAAAGCAAACATATTTGAAAGCTAACACAAAAGCAAGAAGCTCAAAACTAATAAATACTCCGTACCTTATATTTCAAGTTTTGTCATGCCAAATAGCATTTGTCTGGCTCAAACCTTCACAGCCCACTTCCTCACCCCTAAAGAATAAGCAATAATCATTCCTTTATCATCACAATAATTCCTTTTATCTCACGTATCCTTTGTATCTCTTTTAGTAAGACAGCTGGAGCTGGAGTGGACGTGGTGAAGTTATTTGGCAATAAAAACAGTGTTGTCCGGTAAGATTGCTTACTAACGTTTTGTTGTTGAACATTAAGGGGGGAGGGGAACCAAATATGAGAATATGAATCCATTTAGAACCCATTCAGAATCAAGTTGGTGAATCACAATTATAAGTTTTATAACTTGAATTGGATGATTTATGGTTGATTGCTTGGTTCTTCTGACTTTGCTCTCTCCTCATGAATTTATTACCACGTGTGTTTGCAGCAAAAGGAGGGATTGGGATGTCTATGAACCTGTTATTGATCTCCTGTCAAATGAGGAATTGGATGCCCTCCAGACCAGAGAAGAACGGATTCCTCGCTAATCTGGGAAAGAAAATAAAAATGAAAATCATGAAAAATCAAATTGAGGATTCCTGCGCATCATATCACACCCTAACGACTCTTCTCACTTCTCGTTAGAAAAGAGTTGTACTGTTGTTCATGTTGTCATATTTTAATTATTATTACTCCTTTATATACTATGTATTAGGATTTTCTCACATCATCTATATCGATATACTACCTCGGTCCCTCTTATTCAAAAACAAGTTCCACCTTTCCTCTTCGAGCAGTTCCAAAATTAAGTTCCACTTTCAACCCTTTTCTTATTTGGCAAATTATCTACATCAAAACAGTTCCAAACAGTGTCAAACAGTGCCAAACAGTGCACTCGACAGTAAAGTCAAATTTCTTTTCTTAATATGTGTGAAGTCAAATGTGAAACTTGTTTTTGAATCGGAGGGAGTATATTCTTTAAAGGCAAAATCGCACTTTTAATCCCTGTAATAGTCACCATATTGAAATGTTAGACCCGAATTGCCAAGTTTGTAAATGTCACCTCTCAATTGTCCAAATTGATGTAAATGTGATCCTTTTAGCGGTGAAATGTACTCCTCGCCCACATAGTGCATTTCACCCCTAAAGAACCACATTTACCACGATTTGGATAGTTGAGGGGTGACATTTACAAACTTGTGAATTCGGGTCTAACATTTCAATATGGTGACTATTACAGGGACTAAACATGCGATTTTCCTTTCTTTAAATTCAATTTAACTTATCAACCATATTTGGATTGGTCTGAAAGTCAAATTCAGGTTCGGTAACACAGCTTCTTCAATTGGCTTTTCGATCTAAAAATCATTTTTACTACAAGCTGCAAATGCCAGCATTTTCAGTTAGGGCTGGACTCGGGCCCGGTTCGGGCCTCGGGTCAGGAAAGGGGAGGCCCGAGCCCGAACCGCCGGTTCCGGTTCCGGGCCAAACCGGGCCGGGCCGGGCCAAACCGGCCCAATAATTTTTTTTTTTGTTCTCCTATTTAATCCCCTACCCCTCCCCCTCATCCCCAAACCACCTCAAATGGCCCAAAATACCTAATCCAACCTAAAACTTAAAAAAATTTCAAAAAAAAAAAAAATCCGGCCCGGACCGGGCCCGAACCGGCCGGGCCGGTTCACCAAAAGCTGGGCCCGAGCCCGGACCGCCCAGCACCCGGGCCGGGCCAAACCGAACCGGTGGACCCACCGGGCCACGGGCCGGGCCGGGCCAAACAGTGACCGGGCCGGTTCGGTCCCGGGTCGGGCCGCCCGGCCCGAGTCCAGCACTATTTTCAGTTACAGTTTTGTGTATTTTTAATGTAAACAATATGGTGAAGAGTCTAACTATCGTGATGGAAAATCTAATACGGAGTAGAAGTAAGCAATTTTTTACCCTAGTTTTTCGAAAATCATTTCAGATTCCTACTGAACGTACTCAATTACGTAGTACATACTACATATAGGGATGGACTCGGGCCGGACGGCCCGGAATCGGGCCATAGGGCGGTTCGGGCTGACCCGGCCCGCTAGTCATACGGTTCGGGCTCGGGCCCTAGGAATGGTGAACCGGCCCGGCCGGTTCGGGCTCGGTCCGGGCCAAATTCAATTTGTTTTTTTTTTTTATAATTTTTTTAAGCTTTTGGGTTGGGCTAGGCATTTTGGGCCGTTTGGGGTGGTTTGGGGGTGAGGGGGGAGGGTTGGGAGTTAATTAGGAGAAGCCAAAAAAAAATTAGATTGGACCAAGGCCCGGCCCGAACCGGACCCGGGGGTTACCCGGGCCGGTTCTGGGCCTCCCTTTCCTGAACCGAGGCCCGGCCGGGCCCAGGCCCGAACCGGCCCGAGTCCATCCCTAACTACATACTTCCCAAAATAATAATCTTCAATTTCTATGATGACAAAATTTGTTATACATATCATTTCACCCTCTTTCCGCACAATTTTCATTTTGTTAATCTACGTGCAAAATGTATTTGGAAGATTATTACGAAATTGTAGTATTTTTGTGTTTTTTCTTTTAAAATAATCATCTTATTTTTTAACCATATACATTTAGATGATAAATATACTTTTATTTTATACAAAATTAGTTTTTTAGAACAAAAAAACGAGCACGTTTTCAATTACAATGAGTAATATTCCGTATTATTAATATTAGTAAGTAATAAAAATGTTATTATAATGATAAGTACGTAGTATTCTTTAATTATAAAATGAACAAATTGCTAAAAAATTTCAAAAATAGTCAATGTAAAGTTATGGATGATATAGTTGGAATATTTTCACTCCCATATCAACTTGAATAGACAAAATTAGATTAGAACAAAATTAACTCGATTAGATTTTAATAAATGTGAAATACATTCATATTAGACATAAATGTATTGTCCCACTTAAAAGGACTGGAATATGCACACAATGTGTGGGGTAAAAATGGGATATCCGAAATGGAGCACCTATAACATGGTTGTAAACTTAACAGAATAAAAAAATTCAATCTAATTGAGAGCATATATGTTCCAACATACCGAATATGTTATATTTTGTACACAAAATGATGTAGTTAAAAGAGTATGCGATTTGGTAAGTTCCAGTTAGGGGTGGACGTATTGGTTTCGATTCGGTTTATTGGTTTTCGGTTTGGTTTGAAATAAACTGAAAGAGTGATTAGTAAACAAAGATCATATGTAGTATTATCTTTTGATTTGGTTCGGTTCGACTTTGTTTGATTTAGATGCCGTTTGGCAACCATGTTTTTCTGTTTATCAGGCTTATTAGTCAACTTTTTCATAAAACACGTAACTTTTGTTTTCGCGCGCTGAATTGTGTAATAAGCAGAAAAAGTAATGTTGGAGTTACTTTTCTGGATGTATTGGTTGAAGTTACTGTAGATGACCATTTTAGTTATTTTTACATATTACTTTCTCTTTATTTTATTAATAAAATATATTTTAAAAGTAATTTTTTTTAAATCAGCAGAATCAGCCAATGCAACCACTTCAGCCAGAACTTCATAAATTTCAGCAGAATCAGTCAAATTGGCCGATTTTCGTGGTACCAAACGGGCTCTTAGTTCGATGAGATTTAATTCCGTTTGGTCCGGTTTGAATTTATTATTTTTCAATAATATATGAAAGTTTTGATTTTTTTTTTAATTCGACCAGTTCGACTTATTCAACTTTTCTTGATTTCCATTCAGTTTAATACAATTTGAAACAAATGCTTTAAAATGCTACAAACGGTCAAACTCCAAATCAAATTGCATATACTTCCATAGTTCCATTTGATAAGATTTTGTTCATTAAACCAAACCGGTATGCGTTGGAGTCGTTCCCATGAAACGACGCATTTTATAAAATTGGGGACAATAAAATTGGGGACAATTTTGGGTGAACTATCTCTCTCTACTCTTGAATTCTGCATCATTTCCCCAGTTTGACTCCCGTTGGCGGCTTATCTGGGCAGAAAGGAGGATTCTCATAGTTTAGGGTTTGGGGAGAAGTTAAGTAGGTTATTCACACCAATTAGCGCCTTCCTCTGATCTTCATACCCAATATACAGGCGTAGGCAGAGCGAGAACGAGAGGTTCGGTATTAACTCGCTCATCCATTCGTTCATTACGGCAGAGTGCTGAGTACTATGGGTGTCATTTCGGCAGCGATCGGCGATGCGGTGTTGACCTTCATGTGGGTCTTCTCCGCCTCCACACTCGGCGTCGCTACCTCCATTGTCGCCTCGGCGCTTGGGGTTGTCCATCCGTTGGCGTCTCTCTTCATCACCACCGCCATGTTATTCGTCCTCTTGTTCGTTTTCGGTATTCTAAGCGATGCCCTCGGCGGCGCCAGCTTTAACCCCACCGGTATTGCTTCGTTTTACGCTGCTGGATTCGGCAGTGACTCTCTCATCTCTGCTGCCGTCCGTTTTCCCCGCTCAGGTTAGACTTCATTTCTTTCAGTAGTAGTACTGCTGGATTAATCAAAGCTTTTTTCGTTTATGCAATCAATCTTCCCCTGCACCTTGTTCTAAATTGGCTTCATAGTGATGAATAGATAGTCGAATTCATTATAATCTTTCTCAATTGCCTTACTGGATACTGCCTCTCGTTGTATAATTGACAGGCTGCTGGTGCTGCTGCTGGTGCAATTGCGATACTGGAAGTAATCCCTCCACATTACAAACATATGATTGGTGGGCCTTCTTTGAAAGTTGATGTTCACACAGGAGCCATTGCAGAGGGTGTCTTGACTTTCATCATGTCCTTTATTGTCTTCATCGTCGTTCTGAGGGGTCCTAAAAATTCATTTGTCAAGAATTGGTTGCTTGCCATATCAACTATTACTCTAGTAATTGCCGGTTCTAGCTATACAGGACCTTCTATGAATCCTGCTAATGTAAGTATATTTTTTCACCTGTATTTGTATTGTATATCCGTGGTCTGCGGAATATGCATAATGCGTTCCTTGGGATTTTCTCTGTAGATCCTTGCTTCAATTCATGCCTTATTTGCTTAATCTAAATGAGATGGCCAAAGAAATATTGGATCTCTATTATTCAATTTTCTGTGGTCTAGGTTTCATGAATTTCTGTTCTATGCTTTTGCATTTTAGTAATCCAAAACTATGTTTTCTCTCTTTTCCCTCCCTTGATTTGTTCAGTTTTACATGAAGACCTGGATTTTTTTACCCTTGTTATTGTCTATTTTAGTTTTTACTGAGCAGAAGCTAGAGTAGTCCAGTATGAAAACAAAGTAGTGAAGGGAAAGAAAGAAATGCACATTTGTGTTATGTATGCTTCAATGTCATCCTCTGAATTTTGTTGACATGATTGCACTCTTTATCATTGTCACACGTTTTACACTTTAAAGTCTGCTTTTGAATTTCCAGGTAAGAGGAAATAGAAAAATAGATTGTGCATTATAAGCTATGTGATATTTGATATGTACATCCTCTTTTACCTCTTTTAGTTGAGCCACTGCCTCTTTTTGGCAAGTACAAATTACAAAATTATTAAAATCCTATATACCCTTCCATTTTCATTCTCTTTCCAACATTTCCTACTTTCTCATCCCACTCTTCCCTTTTTCTACACTTTCTACCATCCTTAAACCTTTGCTCATAATCTATCAAAAATCTAATGGAGTGAGTAAAATATGAACAGAGAGAGCATGTGTTTATATCCAATATTCTCTTTCATTTTTTTGCAGAATTTGCATCATCCTTGTGTTCTAGTAATACAGTGTTACTTGTATAATGTTCAAATTGATTTTACTGGGACACAATTAACTACGGAGTACAGTATATTCTTCTGTTTGTCATTTACAATATGTGCTAATTTATTATATAACGATTTGCTGGTTTGTATGGGCAGGCATTTGGCTGGGCTTACTTAAATAATATGCACAATACGTGGGAGCAGTTCTATGTGTACTGGATTTGCCCCTTCATTGGAGCAATATTGGCAGCTTGGATTTTTCGTGCTGTGTTTCCACCCCAAGTGAAGCCCAAGAAGCAACCGAAGGCA